ATGCGTCACAAGCATTGCTGACTATGGGTCTACTATCTGGTGGCGAGGCCAAGCACAATTCACTACTCTACTTCAAAAACTCCAAAACCTTACAATTAGAAAGATATTAGGCGTTTTCAAAACTACGCCTATCCTCCCAATGGAAGTAGAAAGCGCCCTCCCGCCTCCAGAAGTGCGCCTCTCCTCCTCTCTAAGAACATATGCCCTTCGACTTCTCAAACTTGCACCTTCACACCCAGTCAACCACGCCACCAACAAACTTCTTAACACACAAATAACTCCAGGAAAAAAGAAGCCAACAACTCCGCAACTACAACAAATCCACAGCTCGATTAGCAACCTATACGATCTCGAAAACCTTGAACAAATAAGCCACTTCTACTTCCCCCCTTGGGAAAGACAAACCCCCTACAAAGTGCATATCAGCAAACTCTCAAAGGAAGAAGAGGCTAAAGTTCACCTTCGCTTACTTCAGAACAACCCCAACAACAGCATCTTTATATATACTGATGCTTCCTCTACAGCAACAGAAAATAGCCAAGGCATAGGCGTTGGTCTATCTGTAATATTCCCTCAATCAAGTATAATCCACTACGAAAAGAAGATTAACATCAGCCCAAATAAGCTTGTCTACAACGGAGAAGTTGAAGGAGCAACGCTAGCAGTGGAACACGCTGCTAAACAGGCTAGACCAGGGATCCATTTTCACATCTACTCTGATAACCAGGCAGGTCTATGGAGGCTGAAAACTACATCAGACCACCCAGGGCAAGACTGCCAAATCAGAGCCATCAAAGCTGCACGGAAGGTAGCCAGCAAGGGAGCCAACACTACAATTCACTGGGTACCAGGCCACACCGACATCCCAGGAAATGAAAAAGCAGACAAGCGTGCAAAAGCGGCTACTTCAATCCAACCATCCACTCAACTCACTAGTTTTGCTATGCTTGGAGTCAAAATAAGGCAAATCCAGAACAAAGAATGGCACCAAAAGCTTACTACACATCCTGCCCACCATACAGAACTGTTGTGCTGGGTCTACTTTCTCTTTTGCTCCACTTCCTTATTTGATCCACTTATAGTTCTGCTGCCTAAATGCTTCATGTTTGCCTAAACCTTACACTCTTTATATAAACACCTTAGATAGCTACCTTTTACAATGCAATCAATTCTCCATGACCTTCAGTACCCAATACCCTTTCAACCCAATAGGATCATATATTCTATAGCCGGAATGGATCATTTGCTCAAGGTATCAAAAGAATGACTCAAGAACACGGTGGCGTTGATATTGTGTTAAACTCGCTTAGTGGAGACGCGTTGGTGAAGACCTGGGAATGCGTAGCACCATACGGACGGTTCTTGGAAATCGGCAAGAAAGACATCCTGGAAAATGGATCGCTGCCTATGTTTCAATTCGCAAAGAACGTCTCATTTCATGCGATTGACCTAAAGGATCTTGGCCAATACAAACCTGGCTTATCACATGAAATCAAACAAGGTGTCGTATCGTTATTGTTCGACAGAAAGATCAGTCCCGCGTAACCGCTACATATCTACAGGATTGAAGGGGTGGAGAAGGCCTTTCGATATCTTCAGGGTGGTAAAATACCGGAAAAACAGTGATTGAGATGCGCCCAGAGGCAGAAATATTAGTAAGTGTTACCGTTCCCAAACTGTCGACAACCAGCTGACAAACAAAATAGACCGTGCTCGAAAGAAAACCCGCTTGGTTCTTTGAAAGTTTCGCGACATACTTGATTTCTGGAGGGCTCGGGGGAATTGGCAGAAGCATCGCCCGCCGGATGGCTCAACGAGGAGTCAAACATTTAATCCTCTTATCTCGCTTCGGCCCTCGTACCGAAGCCGCTCATACTCTACTCAGGGAATTGCAGGATCTAGGGGTAGAGGTAGAGATCCTGGTTGCAGATATTGCAGATGGACCTCTACCCAAAGGAAAACTTAGCGAGTTATCACGGAGGATTCCTCCAATAAAAGGATGTATCCAATCATCCATGGTCTTAGCGGATTGTCCCTTTGAATCAATGTCCTACAGCCAATGGCGAACAGCGATAGAACCAAAGGTGCAAGGCACCTTCAATCTGCACACCATACTGCCTAAAGGAATGGACCTCTTTCTCATGTTATCGTCAATCGGCGGCGCAATCGGTTCAACAACTCAGGCAAACTATGCTGCAGGGTGTTCCTATCAGGATACACTTGCACATCACAGAGTCAGCGTGGGGGAAAAAGCTACAACCTTCGATCTTGGATTTATGTTAGACGACGGCGTCCTCACCGAGAATAGCAAGATGATGACCATTCTAAAACGTACGGGCTACCTGGTCGGAATTACCCAGCAAGAATTGTACGCTTTGTTGGAGCATCATTGTAATCCATCCCAAGGACTTTCAACGCCTCTCAAAACGCAAGTCGTGATTGGCATTGATGTACCGGCATCTCTTAAAGCAAAGTCTATACGTACACCTGTCTTTATGCGCCGCCCTCCCTTCCGTCATTTCTACAATATGCGTTCCGCTCTCCCTTCTAAAGGCGACGATGATAAAAGCAATAAGGAGTCCAATGAACTGTCTATTTCAAAAGTGCTTGCTTCGGTAAAATCTCTGGAAGAAGCAGCTGGCAAGATATCCCACTCATTGATGGCTAAGCTTAGCAGAGCCCTTGCTATCCCGGCCGAGAATTTAGATTCGAGCAAAGCAATGCACACATACGGCGTGGACTCTTTGGTAGCAGTTGAATTGCGAAATTGGTTTGTACAAACACTTGATGCCGACGTAGCAATCTTTGAGTTATTGGGGAACGCCACATTTCAGGACATTGGGGTATTGGTCGCCGGAAAAAGTCGTCTTGTTTTGGAGTTATTGAACAACAGCCAAAAGGGAGAGGATGATAAGGCTGCGTGAGTACCCGAAAGGTACGCGCTCGATATTCGAGAGCCATGGCAATGTGTGTGGGTATCGTAATGCAGGAGCGTTGAGTTCAGGTCCCAAAATGTAGTTAGAAATTGGTGTAAGATTTCAAACATGCATTTTGTGACCTTGTAAGTGAATAGAGTCAAGAATAAAGTAGGACTTGGTAGAATGCTTGAAATATGCATGGAAAGTTGAACTTGCGTGGTGGGGCACAAATTTAACTCTCCAAATATGGCGGTCTCAGGTAGTGAAGTGTGCTATTGTAACCGTAATTTCGTCGAATTGATTAATACTACGATAATTTGATTAATTAGTACGTATGATAGAATAGATAGTATTATTTGATTAATTTTTATAAGCGAATTATTTGTCCTTTAAACTAATAACAAAAGCTACTTTTTAATTAAAGTATAACTTACCCCTTACCTAGAAAATAAATAAAGTAACCTAAATAATTAAGTATTTAAGAACAACCCTATATAGATCCTATAAACCTAAACTAAGGAAAAGTAAGGTTATTCCTAAATTATTTAGCCTTTGCTTTATGTTGTCAGTTAATATGCTGACCCGTGGTTTCCACCGCACGGAACACGGAACCAACCGACATGAAATAGAACAGGAGTGCCCAGGAGTGTACAACAAAGGAGCAGCATATACCAGGGCCATATGCCAGGGCCATATAAGCCAGGCTCCTGCCCACGTACATAGCTCTCTAGTTATCTGAATACAACTCTTCTGGCCCCCTGGCCTTCCACATTCCTAATTCTGAACAACACTTTATAACCTATACTAACTTGTCCTTTCAACTATTTTTTAAGCCGGGTTTAGCCCTCCTCTTTGCCTCTTTTATTATAGTAGCGCCCTTATCTCTTTACCTACTATACGCTTATTATTAGTTACAAAAAGAGTGTTATTAACCCCCTTGCCTGCCCCCCCTCCCCCCTGGATAGGGGCATAGCCGGGTCGGCAGCGTCTATATTAAACAAGAGTAGATAAACCGGAGTACTAGGAAAGTAGGGGGGGCCTAGGAGCATAGTCCTATATATAAATTAGTAGTTGTTATAGTATTGACAACCTACATTCTATTCCTTATTCTACACCTACTAGCCTACCCGTTCTACACCCTCCTAAGATATAACAAAAGTATGTATTGGGTTGAAAGGGTATTGGGTACTGAAGGTCATGGAGAATTGATTGCATTGTAAAAGGTAGCTATCTAAGGTGTTTATATAAAGAGTGTAAGGTTTAGGCAGACATGAAGCATTTAGGCAGCAGAACTATAAGTGGATCAAATAAGGAAGTGGAGCAAAAGAGAAAGTAGACCCAGCACAACAGATCCTTAGGGATACCGTAAAGATCTTGAAGTAGTCGGCTTTTCTTTTCGGAGCCCACGGTAACGTAGATTTCCGCATCAAACAACTTGGCTATCTGGATGGCCGCCTGACCAGTCTCTCCTGCCGCCGAATGAATCAAAATGGACTCACCCTTTCTGATACGCGCAACGTGGCAAAGGGCATAGTATGCCGTTATAAAGGTAACGGGCAAGGCAGCGCCTTCGAGAAAAGAGACATGATCAGGTAAAGGCATCGCTTGAGAAGACAAATAGCGGCCGAAGGTCTGATAAGTCCCAGCCACATTGGCACAAACTCTTTCGCCGACTACAAATTCTTCGCAATGCTCTCCAATGCGGTGAACGGTCCCAGCACACTCAAAGCCAAAGGTAGAACCTGGCATTCGTCCTAAGGCGATCAAGCAATCTCGGAAATTTACCCCACTGGCATGTATTTTTATTTCAATCTCGTCCGCTTCCAAGACCGAATTTGACTCCTTATCCTCAATAAATTCCAGCGTATCTAGCAATCCTGGAGAAGATATGCTCAACTTGAGAGGTATTCCACAACCGAAATTCTTTGTTTCTCGTTCATGTTTTTGCATGCGGGGGACGATATCTCGGTTAAGATATTCAGCTTCGACAAATCGATCAATACACAGCCTTCGATCTCGCTCGGTATACTCCGGCTCATATCCATCGGTGGCTAGAGTAGTGGTCTGATCAAAAACCTGCAGAATTGACTGGGAGAAGTGTGATCCATCTCTTTCTTCGCACTCAAAGGCCAGTGTAACGAACTTCATTTTCGACTTCTCTTGTCGTATGGCTCGTGCTAGACCGTTTATCATTGTATGGTCGCCCAGAGTTTCGGCTTGGATCCCATGGCGAGTGACCCAAATCATTTCTTCTGCTGCGGCTATGAGATTACGCGCCACAACGAACTTTTGCGAGTCCATTTCTTGGAGCACCGCACCGTCGAACTCGAGGAGAACAATGCAGAAATGTACCCCTACATCGCTGATTGAAGAAGCTTCTCTCTTCTGAGAACTCGAACCCTTGGTCGACTTCGCTGCCCTCCTCTTTAAGGTCGACACAAATTCGACCTCGGCATTTCTCTGACCACACTTCATTCTCGTAGGCGTATAGGTGGAACTCTTCCCAGGCATTATCTTTGTCCGAACTCTGCCGCAAGGGCCGGAGATGAAACTCTACCTCGACGCCGTCAAAGCTCGAATCAAGACTCAGGGAGTTGAGAAACCGGACGTCTTTGAAAGAAAACCCCGAGATGTGGAGCTCTGTTCGAGTTTGGGCCATTTGTTTTGCTGCCTCTATTGCCATGACAATCATTGCAGCCGCTGGAAAAAGCACTACACCAAGTATCTAATCCGAATTGTCAGTCTTTCGTAATTCATTTCTAGGTTGTAGCTGAAAACGCTTACCTTATGGTCTTTAAGCCAACTGCTCTCCGATAATCTAATCTTGCGACGCCAGATGGCGTGTAGAGGATTCCAATCTGGGGCCGGGAAACCAAGGAATGGATTGAATGGCTGCTGTCGCAGTCTGTAATCTCGGCTGATTCTGGACTCCCGCCAGTAGGTGCGAGAGTGGTCGAATGAGTATTCTGGCAGGTTGTGCAAGAGACCCGGTGTTGCACTACCATATGGGAAATTGATAGTTGACAAATTCATGGAATGGCCCCGACAGTATAAGCGACCCACAGCGTTTAATAAGGATTCAGTTGCTGGAACCGAGCGGGCAAGTGCCGAGGTATAATCTACCAAATCTTCTTTCTTCATCGTTCTGATACTCTCCTTAATAGGTGCTTGTAGAGCAGAATGTGGTCCAATTTCAATGATACTGTCAATTTCTTGTAAATTGCAAAGTCGGGTCATTGCCTGGGCGAAGTTCACAGGTGATGTGAGATTCCTCGCCCAGTAAGAAGCGAGTCTGAGTTCCTCAAAAGACGTAGCTTCACCTGTCACTGACGATGTCATATGTACAATTTCTGGGTTATCGTTGTTTGACAAGTTCCCCAGTACAGCAATGTACTCTGGTACTATCTTTTTCAGGATCGGAGAGTGATAAGCAACTTTAACGGCCAATTTCCGAGCGAATATGTGATCCTCATCCAGTAACTCATTCAACGCCATAATCTGATCTTCGTGCCCGGTTATCGTAACGCTTTTGGGCCTGTTAATGCAACCGATGGACAGTTGAGGATTCGGAAACATTCTAATGGTGGTCGTGATATATTGGTGGACCTCGTTTTCAGGTAGACCAACAGCAAGCATACCGAGACCGACGGGGTATTCTTGAGCAAATCGACTGGTAAGAATGCCTCGATAGTAAGATACTTTTATTGCTGATCTCCGATCAAGCGCTCCTGTGCAGTACCTGTATTTGGTTAGCAAATTCCATCCGTTGGGTAACTGAGGGTTACATATGCTGCAGCAATTTCTCCAGACGAATGGCCCAGAACGTGATGGGGAAATATTTCGAAACTCCGGAGGAGCCGGAGGAGATCCACCATCGACACTTGAATAGCTGTACACAACGGCTGGCTGAGAGCCGGACTATTGACATTTGAACTTGGCTACTCGGAAAGCTCCCTCCCCATTGCAAACCACTGTGCTCCTTGACCCGTGAAGCAGAACGCTAGTTTGGGATTCGACTTCACTCGTACTGCTTTGGAGATTTTGAGTCCCTCTTTTGGGACCTTGGAGAGAGATGACATAGTTGCAAATGACTTCCATATCAGCGAGCTCCGTCTGTTGCTCAGAGTGTACGCAAGGTTTTTGAGATACTCTTCTTCATTTACCTCTGGATCAAGTACCACTCCTGAAAGATGGTGACTATAACTTTCTGATAGGCGTTTCAATCTACCGTCATCACACGCCGAAAATACAAATATTTTCAGCAAACCTGCTGAAGAGGGTTTTTGTTTCGAGACTGCAAATTAAGTGCCCCTTCGCTGCAGTCACTATCATCAGATGAGACACCGTAGTCATCAGAATGAACTTCATAGAAAGAATTTCGGTCTCCATTTCCCAAGGTTGCTTCATTATATTTCAAGGCTTTGTCGCTCTCGCCGTTTTGTTTGCTGTTCCCAAAACGCTTGTGGTTGTGGAAACCGTTCTGCAAACTCTCGCCCTCATTGAATGTGGTATTATGAAGGCCCTTGAGGCCATGTTCTTGGAGATAATGATATGCATCATCGAGAATAATATGTGCATTTGTACCACCAAATCCAAATGAATTAACAGATACTCGGCGAAGGCCTTTCGCTGGCCAGGGCGTGATTTCCATGGGAAACTGTTTTTGGGAATTTGCGTTAGTTAAAATTTCAAAAACAGAGGGGACTGATTATACTGGGCTCAGGAATGGCCCACTTTAAGATTCAGAGAATCCGCTTTGATATTTGGGTTCACGCGTTCGAATCCAGCGTTCGGTGGGATCAACCCCTTTTCAAGAATCAAAATACTCTTCATCAAACCAGCAATCCCACTTGCACCTTCTAGGTGTCCTATGTTTGCTTTTATAGAACCACAATATAATGGGTCTGACGTGCTTCGATATTTACCAAAAACAGCACCGATTGGGGAAGCTTCAATTGGATCTATAATTCATCGGCTTAGAATATTTTCAAGCCGTGTGGGGTCATCATGGATTACGAACCTCCGACTGGTGTCCCAGTGCCATGTGCCTCTACATATCTCGTTCTGTTGGGGCTGAGCCCCGCATGTTCATATGTTTCGGTCATCATCTGTTCCTGGGCAAGTCTGCTTGGCTGAGTAATTCCTGAAGCACGCACAATCTGGGTTAGTGACCATTATTAGCAGTCCTACCACCAAAGATGTACCCGGTGTTTTCCCATCTTGATTAGACCCTGTACCCCTGATCACGGCTCTGATGTTATCGTTGCCCCTGATAACATCATGGAGCCTCTTCAGAACTAGTACGCCAAACCCTTCGCCACGCGCGTAGCCGTCTGCTCTGTGGTCGAAAGAAAAGCATCTACTGCTCGGAGAGGAGAGAGGAAATGTTGATTATTCAAGGCTCTGATCATGTCTGGGTTGAATATCAAACTACCACCTCCAACCAGAGCCTAAGTATGATTAGCATGTAGTTGAAGTATTGGAAACAGCGAAGAAAGCAGTCCTCGTTTGAGTTAGCTGCTGCCACTGGTTTTTGTCGCTATATAGTACTCACAAGAGCGTGCCCATAAAAACTCTGTTCTGGATAAATCTCCAAGGTAAAACTGGCTCAGTCAAAGTTTGTCGTTGCGAGATAACCCTTTGCCAACCCAAAAATGCCACCGATAACACACCAGACAGTGTAAGAAATGAAATAACCAAAGGCGAGGACCATTGATAGTCAGTTCCAGCTTCTTGTAATGCGCAGACAAGTAAAAGGCGTGTAGCCAAGAACAAGAAAAACCCGGGAAAATCAACTCTGCGAAGAGTATTACGAAGTGGGGTGTGTGCGTAATGGACAGGAAGCTCATGGTTTGGGAATCTCGCTGGTATTGCCATAAGAGCCAACACTAAGCCCACGAACCCTATTGGAAGACTGCAGAGATATTAGTTTCTGGAATTCAGTAAAAGATCTTCAGTTCATACTTTATAAAAAACACCCAACGCCATGTTATGTTATCATTGATCACGCCTCCCAGCAGTGGGCCTAGCAAGAACGATATGCCAATAGTTGAGGAAGCAAGTGCGTTGTATGAAGCGAACTTTTCCGGTACCATTTCAGATATTATTGCCGGTGTCATGGAAAAGATTCCTGTCCCTCCAACACCTTGGAAGGCTCTGAATACAATTCTGGGTCTGTTAGCAGACAATCTTCAGATACACGGGTAGACGAACTCACAATTGTAGGATTGTGTGCGCACCCCCACAAGCACCAGAGAAAGCCAAAAATAAGATCAACGCAAACGCGAGGAAAGTTTTACGGCCAAAAATATCGCTGAGCTTTGCCCATATGATTATGAAGCCTGCATAGATAAGTTTAGGAAACAAAAAGTGGATCAAATATATGTGTAAATACTGAAGTATGTGATGAGGTAGCTCGACACAATCCAAGAGCTTTGGTCAAATGCGTTTAGATCGTTACTAATGGAGGCCAGCGAAGTACTAACAATCGTGATGTCCAGAGAGGACAAAAAGACGCTCAAACATAGGCTTCAACGCGTCAGCTTTTCGTGCTAAAAATCGAACAATAAAGAATACACACCCTCCAGTTAGCATATGAAGCCTCCAGCCGTGAAGATATCCCTTAGCAGGACTATCATTATCAGCTGGGGCACTCAATGTGCTCTGTTCAAGATACCCGGTGTTTTGTTCGCTGTCATCCGCCGTTTTCTCTAGACTTTGCTCGACGGGGATATTCCCACTCGCAGTTGTTGAACCCATCATCAGATTTCTGATGTTATCGTCAAATTCTAGACAACGAGACAACGTACAATATCTGGTGGTGCAGAGGATTCAAGGTGGATAGACAGCTAGAAATGGCAGCTATTCCTAGTATGTTGTCATCCCCATACTTTATGCACGTCTGACTATATCGGGTGATCTTCCCGGAATTCCCTCCGCATATTGCTATTTGCCACTCAGTTGGTCTTTATTGGGGTCTGTCAAACTTCAGCGCGTGTAACACTGGGAAAGAGAACCCTACTCCTCGCTACGAGGCAGTCTAGCCCAATCGGATACCGATGTTACTTCATAGGTCTTCCACACCAACAATCCCAATTGGAAGGTGTTTTCTGCGCCTTTTGAAATGCATGCAATGATACCAAAGTAGTGATTGTTGGAAACAGGGTTCTATGAGCATGATGATTGGCATTACTATCTGACCGTAGCATAAAACCGCGCCTTTAATGTACAGAATGCTCGACATTGCGAAATCTCTGCAATTTGAAACCCTATACATCCCTTTTCTTATTTAAGACCAACCATTTCAGGAAACTACAAAACAGTAAACCGCCTGTGATTGAATTCATTTTCCCAATTTTCACAAAGCGCATCATCCTGTTATTGAGATAATAAGCAAAGGCAACCATGAAGTCATTCGAATACTCGTGTGCGGTTGTCAGCATTATTTTTCCCATCTTCGCTACATTGAGTGTGATAGCGAGGTTTTGTACCCGAGGAAAACTGAAGAATGGTCGAGGTTTAGACGACTGGCTCATTCTGCCCAGTCTGCTTTTCTATTATGCGTATGCTGCAGATGTTTTGATTGGTACTTTCCTTCCTTTGTCTAATATTGAGCTTCCTCAGTAACAGTATCTTAGGTATCTTTGTTTACGCCGGCCTTGAAACGTTTCCAGACTTGCAAACCCAGTTTGACAGTCTTCAAGTCTATCTCAAGGTAAATATTGCCGTCAATATCACGAGTTCCTGCTGACTTCCGTAGACATTATATCTCCTACCGCCCTCCTACGGCATTGCAATGTCACTAGCCAAATTCTCAATCATTGCTTTCTACCGTCGTGTTTTCAATGTTGGATCCTTCCCTCGAATATCCGCATTTGTCGGCTTGGTATGTGTAGCGTGATTCATAACCGGGGTGGTCGGAGGCCTTCTTTATTGTATTCCTATGCGCAAGTTCTGGAATCCGAGCGTTGAAGGCCACTGTTACAACTTCAATACATTATTCCTTGCGTACTCGATTGGCAGTCTTTTCCTGGACGTTGCGATCCTCGCTCTTCCAACCAAAATGGTTTTTGGATTGCATTTGCCGATGAATTAAAAGGTGGCGCTTGGTGGAATATTCCTTTTGGGCGGGTTGTAAGTATTGTTCCAAGGAACCATACGTGTAATGATGCTAAATGAAATAGTGTTATCGTGACAGAAATCATTCGTATTTCAGTTACCTACAAGCCAGGCCGAGCATTGAGTAAGGTTTTCCGTTCCAAGTTTGGTATACCTGCTTACTTGAACATAGTTTCGTTTACTGGAGGTTCACTTTGGACGTCTGTTCAGATAGGTGTAGGGATTATCTGTCCTTGTCTTCCAACATACCCTGCTTTTTGGGTCCCAATTAAAAAGCTGTTGAATTCCATCCAGAACATTTACACAACCTTCCGTCAGAGCAGTTCCGCATCTCGCGAGGCAACAAAAAAGTCGAATACTCCGGAATGTGGCAATGGGATACCGGGAACCAACTCCTATTACAAACGAATGGACAATTCTAATGGAGATCATATCCATTTAACAGAGGTTACGAGCCCGGACTTCGGAACCAACAGCCACCCAAAAGACGGGCGTGTTTCTCATGGAATCAATGTTAAAAGAGATGTCTACGTAGTCTAAGATTCTGGAATTCTGGAAATGTGGGATGGGGAACGAATAATTTAAGATTACATTATCAGAAATAAAATTCTCCCTTTTGCAAAAATGACTTAAAACTTTTATCAACGTGGCTAAGAAAGTCGTTGTTATACCTCCTTTGTGTCAGGTGTAGAGTAATCCGTGCCCCCACGTTCTGCCGGCCACCCTATAAAGCATCATAATTTCTTGTCATCTTTACAATAGAGAACTCATTCAATTCTACTCTTCCACAGCCCACACTTTATAAATTTGATTTATCATCATGGATTTGGGAATCGAAGGATGATATCGGAAACCTTCTGGTCGTGATACGCGAGTCTGTCCGCGAAGCTTCTCAAACAACCACCATCTCGCAGCAGCAAATAGGGTCTCTTAAAAGTCCGGCCTCCAAGGGAAAGATATGGGTAGCCAAATCTTCCTTGCTTCCGTCACCAGAAGATCAAGCCCGTCAGTCATTGTTGGGGGTGATCGATAAGTTCAACGAGCAGAATGTGCCCTACTTTCGACCATTGAGTACAAAAATAGATCTTGAGTGGGTTGGGTTCCGGAAAGGTGTTGTAAAAGATACACCGGAGCCAAAGATTTCAGAGAAGGAGAAGTATCGTGGCCTGTTGGAGGATTCTCCCGGCCCAGGTGTCGTGATGATTCTCTATGGCGGTGCATTCTAGTTGGTCACCCTATCAGACCTAAGCCCACGAATGTGTAGCTAATAGATTGGAAGTATGAATACTCAAGCGAGCTACAGAAAAATCGCAGCACAGCTTTCTGAGACAACCGGACTACCATGTGTGACTGTTCACCAGCGCCTATCGCCACAAAATTCATTTCCCACGGCTCTCCTCGATGTATTCAATGGCTATATGGCGTTGCTCTCACCCCCTCCGGGGTCTCCTCATGACCGTATTACTTGCATGTGTCCACCTTTTCAGCCTTGCTTTTCCTTCTTGCCTAATGTGGTTACCGGTGATATGTCTGCATGTCCGTTTCCAAACATTACCCCTGGAAGTAATCCTTCAATGTCTTCCCCGCAGTCAGCGCGCATGGCATATTGATGTTGTACTCAAGTACGTCTACTCAGTTAACATCCATACCATGCCCTACTGCATGACTCCTCACTCCACTCTCCAAGTGCAGGGTTATCCACGTAAGACCTGCCATTCACCATTGCTGGTTGTACCGAGCTCTCCAAAGTTCCCGATCCTGATCCTTTTTGCAACTTCAAATTCATGAACCGCGACCCATCTTCATTAGAATGAAGTCTCTTGCACCCAGTAGCCCAATCACGTATTCTTCCAGCACATCACAACAATGATTGACCAGGTTTCCTCTGGGATTCTCGTCTGTATCGGCCTTATTATTTCTGGCCTGTGCGGAATATCTACAGTTGCCTATCACTTCTTCTTCCGTCCTCTTGCAGCCTTTCCAGGGCCTAAACTTGCTATTGCGACCTTTGCCTATGAGTGGTATTATGATCTTGTACTCGGTGGTCAATACACGTTCAAACTAAAGGAACTGCATAAGCAATATGGCAAGTCGATTTATGGTTGCCAGTGAAGATACTAGCTGACTCTCTAGGCCCGGTATCACGACTCAATCCAGACGAACTACATTTTGATGATCCGGATTATTTTGACGAGATATTCAACGTAACGAACGGCAAGGCAGACAAATTATACAGAGTAGCGAATGCATTTGGTCCGTATCCTGCTGTAAGGTTTCTCATCCCCTTTTTGTTGATACTTTTATTCACATCTCTCAACAAGACAATCGGAACCCAAGATCACGACCTCCATCGTCTAAGGAGAAGTGCTGTAAATGTTTTCTTTTCAAAGCGTTCAGTTTTGGATCTCGTACCCCATATCCAACGCATTATCGTCAATTTTGTAGTCGCTTTGAAGATGCATGTACAACAGGAGAACCAGTGAACCTGAAGTACGCATATTCGGCATTAACTTTGGATATTATGAACGAATATTGCTTTTCTGCGGATTCTGAATACCTATCAAAGCCAGATTTTGGTCGCAAAACGTTCGATGACATTGATTCTTTCCTCGTTGTCAGCCTCTTGGTATGTACCAATAAAGTTACAAGAGTCTCGACCTAATTCATTCTAGAATGCTCACATACCATGGCTCATGAGGTTTATGTATGCTTTGCCTGTAAGACAAAGACTTTCTCCCTGAGATCAATATGCTGATCTTTATGCAAGGATTGGTTCATGAGAATAATTAATCCTGCAATGTCAGATATCCTTGACATGCGTGAGGTATACGTTGCTACAACTTTCCCAAAGTATCTCTTGACTAACGATGCGTTCAGAAATTGGCCAATCAGGTCGAAGACATCCGACAGAAGAGAGACGAGTCGTACTTGAATTCTGGCCACCGGACTGTATTCCATGATCTCCTCCTGAGTAAATTGCCCCAGGCCGAGAAATCGCAGTCTCGTCTTTGCGATGAAGCTTTCAGTCTAGTGACTGCTGGGTCGGGAACATCGTAAGAGATCCCCTTCTTCCCAGATCTGCGTGTGACATAGTGAGCTAACGAATTGGTACCCGCAAAGCTCTTGTTGTCAAGTCACTCTCATACTTCATTGCGGCCAACCCTGGTGTGCAACAAAAACTACTTAATGAGCTCAAGGAAGTCATGCCAAGACTAACCGATCACGCTTCTCTCCAGCAACTCGAAAACCTCCCATATTTGGACACTGTCACTAGAGAAGGGCTCCGCTTAGGACATTCGGTGACACATCGGCTGTCTCGAACTTTTTCAGAAAAAGCCTTGCAATACCGTGGTCAAGTTATACCGCCGGGAACAAACGTAAACATGACTCATATTTTCATCCACGAGAACGAAGAGTTATTTCCAGATCCAATGGTCTTTCGCCCGGAGAGATGGTTGAAGAACAAGGACCTCCATCGCTATCTCCTGCCATTTTCAAAAGGTCCCAGATCTTGCCTGGGCATTAATCTCGCGTGGGCAGAATTGTTCCTCATCGTAGGAACGGTGTTTCGAAGATTCAATTTTGACATAGAGATGGTTTCTAGAGAGCGGGACATTGATACAGCAAAGGACGTTGTTATGTTAGTTCCAAGAGTGGACTCACCTGGAGTGTTGGTCAAAATTCTTCAAAATGAAGAATGATTCACGATGAACTTGGAAATAAAGGCTTTGCAGGGAGGCTTCACAGCGTCCAGATCTGTCCCTAATCTGACTGAAGGATTTGTCTCGCAGCTAGCACTACAGAATCACCAATAAATCTATTCTCCAAGGGTCTGCTTATCATGGCTTGAGTAGCATTAGTGCTGTAGTCTTGCAGAAAATACCAACCGCATATTTCCTGAAATGATAGAGCCTCCTGCAGCAAGGATTTGAACCGGAAATGCTTTTGCTCCGGAAAAGATAGGCAGCTCGTTTATGCACTTCTAGGGGTATCCACCCAGAAGATAGACATATGATGAATTCACGACAAGCCAGTATATGATAGATCAAGTGTGATATGCAGCTACGCTCTGTAGCCCTGTCAGGCAGAAGTGAGCGGGGCAATCACCAACATGCAGTTGGGAGTGCGAGTCGTGCAAAAAAATGTGGCACAGCAGACAGGCATACGAGTACCAACAATGGCACCTACTGCAAGCTGCATAGATCAGCGCTTGTCAACTATGAAATGTACGCTCTATGGGATGCTTTGCAAATGGAAGAGGTTATGTGCTATCTTAGCTAAAGGAGATCATTTATGTTTTGCTATCTCTTTTTATTTCCAACGAGTTTCTGTCAACCGACTTCTCCATCTTATCCTTTCACTAGATTATTTATCCAGATATGGACGAATACAATGGATGCAAATACTACCCAGTTGTAGTCATTGGAGCTGGTGCCTCTGGGATCGCAATGGGACACAATCTCAAGCACAAGTTGCGATTGGATCAGTTCGTTGTGTTTGAAAGACAGTCTGGAATAGGAGGTTTGTTGTTTCCTTGCATTCTGGGTGTTGGTAGAATTATATGCTAACGTCATAAAATAGGGACCTGGTGGACTAATCAATATCCAGGAGATATCAATCCGCAGACAGACTGCGATTGTACATGCGAGTGAAGCTGCGAGCAACCTCCCCCTCCACCGCCTCGGCCATCCCAGCATCTCAACATCACTTATCGACCAGTAAGAATAGTTGGTCTACTTTTGAGCTTTTTGCTGACAACTTTGATAGTAAGCTCCCACCGTGAATATGCACGTCCGATGGAAGGTAAAGTCTTCTGTACTTCGAAAAATGATCAACGCCCTGTAAGAGAAGATCGTGATTTAGGATAGGAGAGCTTGGATTGGGATATGAAATTCGAACTATTTCAGGCGTTGAGCGACGAGACAACCACACGTCTGTCTTCATGAGGTTCACTTCTTCAGTGGCTTCGTCTGACTCGAGGAGAGAGAATTGGAAACAGGAACAAGGCGGGCAATTAGAGATCACCTCTCCCTTTCTGCTCGCTTAAACTTGATCCTTCTGACGACATGACTTGCTGCTGAGGTATATGTATGTCCAATCGTGGCGTCAGTGGTTGGACCTTGATGACTCTCACGTTTGCTTCGCTATCTCCTTCGCTCTGAACGCTATATGAGAAATTCTGGAAGCCTTCGCAAGCGGCAGCATGCTTCCCATCAGTATTTACACAAACCACAGCCCCGCTAAATCCCTTAGGTTTTTTCGAGATTCGCTTCACAGCTTCATTCGCAGCCTCTTGTGGACTCAATCCTCCCCTCATCAACTCAACTCCTAAAAAGGCTGGAAGGTGTCGCATCATTACGTCTCCGTCGCCCGTTGCAACACATGCCCCAACATCGTCATCGACATAACCCCCAGCGCCCGGGAGGGGAGCATCTCCAATACGGCCAGCAATCTTGTGCCTAGCCCCATTTGAAGACATTCCCACTGCCATCCTGCCATCTGCCTGCAAAGCAATCTGCCCTATCGTATCGTGATTATGTTCATCGATCCTCGGTGATCTATCGTGTGCCGTACTCCCTTTCTCCCCCTCAATCGTCCCATTACACCCCCACCTGTCCGTGTAAAAGTTGGGTATACAACTATTCCTCACCCACTCCTCATACAAACCCCTCGAGTACTCACTCGTAAGAGACTCCTCCTTATACCCCAACTGAACCGCAAACTGCGTGGCCAAATCCCCCGCCAGCAGACTATGCTCCGTCAACTCCATGACATCGCGCGCGACCATCGTTGCATCCCTAATATTCCTCAATCCCGCCACGGCACCTGTATTCTGGTCGCTGCCGCGCATTACGAGCGCGTCGAGGGTGGTTTCGCCATTGGAATCCGGGGAGCCGCCCCAGCCGACGGTGAAATCACATTGGAGCTCCTCGGCCTTGGAGCATCCTGCGACAACGGCGACGATGGGATCAATAAGAGGAGAGGAGGTGAGCGAGAGGTACGCGGCATGAGTCGCGGCTTTGAAGGGCCAGGTGTTGACTATGAGGGGTCCTGGCATTGTTGGTCATGAAGGTATTTTGACGTCGGTTGTGGTGATGTGCGGAGTCATGATACGCTGAAACATAGCGCGTTCATTGCATTTCAACACTGCGTTCACTGACCACAACAGGGACCCATGTGCTTCACTTCCACCCTCGTAGATTCCAGCAAGCCCAAAAAACAGTCCTGTGATAATGGAGAGACATGTGTAATAAGCTTGCCTATTATGCAGCGTTTATCTCTCATCATCACTGGGTACTGATCTACGGAGTTCTGGATTTTTCTTTTCGCAGTCGTTGGCTGAACGCTCCATAGCCTCGTAGGTAATTCTAACCTAAACTACTCGAGTACTCGAGTAGTGGTCAATAAACCTTCCTTTCCTCGGTCAACACCCCTTTCCCATTCTCGCTTGTGGATTTGGCCAGCTGATGTGGCGGAGGACTAAAGTAACATGAAAATGAACGAACGTTTCTGTTGAAATTATACTCTTTTGATTACAGTCCTTTCTCTGGGATTAATGATGTACTTTAAGTTTTTGACCTGCTGTCTGGCCTGTTGTAAGTAGGACAAAGGCCATAGTCCATCTCTACTCAAATACTGTTGATCCAAATCAAGAATGAAGGGGAGAATCAAATCGACGAAAAGGATTCTGATAATTCCAAGATACTAAAACATATGAGACGACTTTTATGATGACAGCTCCATATTGTGCCCTTTTTCCATCTTATTTTGTTCCGTTTTTCCCCAAAACAGCTTGCTATGTATTACTCGTATCTTCAATGCTAGGTATGAAACTCGGAATTATTTCGATTTGATTGGAAATGTAATGATGTTGCAAATGCCTTTATAGAATAGAAATAATAAAAGTCACGTAATAAATATAGAATAACTTGGCTTATATGAATTTGAAAGAATGCTCCATGAAGGAAGGAATTCTACTATCAGTTTGTGTACTTCTTGTAGTAACGTAAAAAGACGAAGCAGTCTTATACGAATAAACGAAACTAGACTAAATCTAATAAATATTTTTGTTCGGATGTTCTGAATGATATCAAGAAAAGATTATCTAACGATGACAAAGGGGTTAAGTTTGGTAACGCTTGCATATGTTTATACAGGACTTGAACACTTCATATATACGAGTGAACAAGAATTACTTCGCAGTATTACTTAAGCCAAAGGCGGTAAATCAATGTGGTAGTATGTGGCAATATCATACCAAGTAAATGGATTCACCCCTGAGAATCAGACCCAGACTGCAAAGACAAATAAAAAGGTTTCAGCAACTATTCAAGACACAACAATCATATATAGGCTATTGGAAAGCAATTAACAGTGTTACACATCAAGAATACCTGTATAGCCAAGATAAAAAGCTGGTAGTTGCATGCTAAAAGAACTTCCAATAAGAGTGAAGTGTCAAAGTGAAAGTCGCTTGACAGGTAAGCGAAAGGTGTAAAAGAGAAAGGGGAACCAGAATCACATGAGCAACCAATAAACGACATGGAATTAAAGCGGCAGGACACTTCATGTAATTTCCGATCTGCTCCGACCTGCTCTGAAAAATCTTCATGTTGTCTTCTTTGTTGTGACGCAAACCAAAATCTCTTCAGTAAAGGTATACAAGATGCGCTACCAATCAGTGTTTCCCGAGATCGCACAAGAGATATCGAAAGAGCCTCCGAGCCAACTCCTCAACATAAAGGATCTTTCGAGGTCAATCGAGACTATCTGCAACTTAGACAGGTTGGAAGCGAAGAGGTTATTCAAGGACTTCCCAGGACGTTCCTCAGACTGGCTATCTTGGCGAACAGATTTGGCGGTTTGGAGAATTTATTGTGGGTTTTCTTGTGTAGCGATATGGAGGTGCTGATGGTTCATACTAATGATATGGTAGTTGGCGACAAGATAGACGATCAGTTTCCTGGTGGTCCCGAGCCTGAAATTATTGGAGCGTCTACTCCACAGCCTGATGTTCAGGTTATGGGGCAGCAACCAACGAATTCGCAACCTACACAGGACCACCTGCCTTTCCAGGGAAAGCAAGAGCTTGAGAATGAACAGCCATCAGAGGGACAACCGCCAATGCAAAATACTCAGCCAGAAACGGGACTCATGAGAACGAACAGCGCACCTTTGGAGCAGGCTGGAATGAGACAAACACCGCAGCCAGCGCAGTTCAGTATCTCTCACCCGCAGATGTTTTGGGGAGCGCAAAGGGACACCGTCAATTTGAGAACTGGGCTGGACCTCAGTGGTGTCAAACCTATGCTTCAAATAGCCCAATCTCCTCAGCATCAACAGATAGGAGCAGGACCGTGGAGTACCGGAATGATCCAGCAACCTGGCAACATGCAACGACCAAGATCAATCGCACCTAAAGAGCAGCCAGTAATGGGAGCTGTACCATCATCTTCAACGGCGCTAACAATGCATCAACCCAGTTCAGCACAATTGACTCCAGCAGTTTGCTCTGCCCAACATCAACAAGTGCGAGCGCGGCAGGCGGGCATTGAAGGAATGACGCGATCCAGATCTACACAACCTCAAGTACCAACACTCCAATCTCAGCACCATCAATTGACAGCACCTCATATGGGTATTATGGCAATGCAGCAACCAAGTCCGAGCCGGCAACAGCAAAACCCTTTCTTCCATCCACCACAGCAAGTGGAAACGATACAGAAGGGTATGGAGGACATGCAACGATCTGCCCCAAAACAACCAATTATCCCTCAGCATCAAGCATTAGTACAGCAGCCAGCCCAACATAACTATTGCCAACCACCTCGGCAAAGGGACAACGCGGCAGAGAAGATGCACATCGAAGTCATGCGTCTTGAAATCCAGGCATTGAAGTGCACTCATGAATCTTTGCAACGGAAAGTCGAGTTCTTGGAAAGCACAGTTCATTCTCAGGAGAAGATAATAAACACTCAAGAGGAGAAGTTTAGAATGCTAGAGCTTGCTATTAATAACCAAGGACGCAGTTTGCTCGCCTTAAGGGGGAATCTTTCAGCTGCTTTGGGAGAGAATCGCCAAGTTGGTAATGGAAATGTACGTATCTGCTTTATGCAATATCCCGAGCCAGATCTTTAGTCCGCGAAGAGCTGTACTAATTTGGCAACAGGGAGGAGTTTGATTGTCGTTGGACAGTGGCATTGTGACTTTGCGGAGTTCAGAGATTATTTGATCACTCATAGCAATAATTATAATTGTTGCAAGCGTCGATAGAAGTGCGTATTGGATGCTTTACAGTGGAGGACTTTAATTAATTAGGGCATCATACGATAATGGCAAATGCGATAATGGCAAATGATTGAAAGAGGTGTCTGGTTATGATATTAGATCTAGCATAGACAAAGAGTGGTTTTCGTATGTTTTTGTTAGGATACATAGAGAAATTAAATTTAATATAGATAAGTCATTTGTGCATCGCATCCAATAATGTGAGAAATTGGCTATTGTGGGGATGGATAGTTGTCTGAGTGTACATGAGGAGCGTACGTAAAGAGGTTCTGCCTCCTGTTACAGCTTCTTATGCCTTTCATATGTTGAGACTCTCCTTTTCCCTCCCACTGTCCCTAGTTCAATTTACAGAGTTCTTTATATGAAGAACTTCCTATTTAGTGCGCCATGGCTTCTCACTTGGTAGATTCCAGGACAGCCATAGGCACCAGAGGATGTAGGGCTTGCTTACCAGTCCGCATGTACCTATCTTGCTCGGCAAATACTGTGTACCTCTGGCCTGGCCACTGTGGAGGCTAGTTCTACCAAGCATGACAAGTGTTCAAAAGAGCTTTGTCCAAAAGTATGAGAACGCAAGTACAGGGATCGGAAAATCACGGAAGTTGAGGAAAATTTGGGTCATGCCATTTTGCCACGCTTAAGAGTGAATGTCTGACAGGGTTAGTTGTAAATCCCTATTTCAGCAACACAACACCAACGTTACCAAGCAACCTGTCTCGAGTCCTAGTCTTAAATAGATTACAGTATAAGCCTATATATCGAGGCATCAACACACCCAAAGGGAATTCTGACACTAGTCTTCACTTCTTCACTGGCCTATGAAGCACCAGTAGTGCTCCAGATCATTCCCACAACATCTTCTAAGCCTTTAGAGCACCAAATCCACAAGAGATGGTTCTCAAGGAGGTCTTGGAGAATTTGGTCTGACTAGACTTCGGAAAATACGGGAAGAAAGTGAGGGGTGAGTGTGGTATGGTTTGGGTAGCGCTTGCCTAATAGCTGAATTTTCGGGTTTCGTGGCACTAGGCTGAAAGTTTATCCCTAGGTGAATGGAAATTTTCATTAGCCAATGAAGTTACAGATTATCTGTTGGGGTGGTGCTAAGCAGAATATCTTTGAAAGGATACTCGATGGAAACAGTCAAGAATTCAAGTGGTATTCGAGACCAGTCAATCAGGGTAGCTCATGAGACGATATCTCATTCAATCCGGTTAAAACTTTAGTTAACTTGCAAGTAGAAGCAAAATGAATTGAAAAGCCCGAGGAAATTTGAGCGTATGATTGGTGAGGTCTAACTTCTAGGCATCACCAGAAAGCACATGAAACATAGCAAAGCTGTTTTGATGAGTGAGATTATCTCCGATTTTCTAAATTCATAGATCTATGTACTTAAATTGGCTGATAAAAGAGATTTGGGTTAGGATATCCGCAAGTCCTCGAACTAGGAAGTTCTCTTCTCCAACATAACCTCTAAATTCTTCCCTGTAAAACTGGAAAAGGAGGATTTCTGTCAGTTAATTGATATCATGATGCAAATACACCGATGGGCACTCAAAATTTCAGTAAGAGATCTATCCACTTCATATCCTCCTCGGTGGTATTATATATTTCCAATTTAAACTTCCGAAATAGATTGCCGAGCAAGACATACATTTTACAAAGGGCCAAACTACTACGGTCAGCGATTTGAGCCGTGTGCGGGAAAGTTTCACTTATTCCTTACCAAGACATTGTCTGGTGCCACGATAAAAGCTGGTCATGTATTTGTCAAGACGTGCCGAGTCGTTGTTCAACCAACGCTCAGGGCTAAACTGATCTGGATTTGGCCAACAACTTTCGTGACGGTTGAGCAAATACGAAGAAGTGACCATAATAGTCTGCATAATACAATTAGCTGAATTGCTCTATGTTTAATTTGGAAGTCTTTCAGGAGACATACGCTTGGCGGGACGTGGTGTCCATACAGATTATATCCTTCGGGAGGAACTACTCGCGGAAGTCGAGCTGGGAGCGGGCTGCTGTATCGAAGAATCTCTTTGATCACCGCCGACTATAGTCAGATTAGTTAGGAGAGTTATAAAGTTCTATTCCGACGTGTCTCACTCACGAGATAGGGAAGCGTTTTTGCTCTGTCGTAAGTAATCTCATTTTCAAGCATGGGAAAATTAACCATCAATTCCTCGTTGAGCCTCTTATAAACTTCCGGGCTCCTCAATATCTGGTAGATACCAGAAATCATGGCATTTGAGGTTGTATCGTTTCCAGCCGATAGTAACATGATCACTTCCTCTGCAAGTTCGCTGGCATTCAAGACACTGTGGTCTTTGGCCGTTGAGGGGTCAACAAGCGTGTCGATAACGACCGATTGATTGAACTCATTCTTCTTAGCTTGTTTTCCAGTTTTCTCGACGATAGGAACATTTCGATCGTTTAGATAATTCTCAATGAGCTTAATGCATTTCTGCGTGACACAAGGGTTAGCGAAAGTGGGTAGAACTGGATCTTGATTTGGTTGCGGCGAGTACCTTTTTGAATTCCATTAGCGGGATAGGAAACAACCGATCCGCGATCCAATCAGGCAAGGACAGGGAGAGCCTTGTCAAGTTTGGGAAAGTCGTGGCTGGCCATCCCATTTCAAATGTGCCGTGTAGATATTCAATAAATTGGTTTCGGAAAGCCGGGTCTTCAATACAACCAAGTTCTTTTCCGAAGACAATTTTAGAGATGATGTCCATGGTGAAAGCCTTGGTGCTTGTGAAAATGTTGACGGGGCTACCATTTTTGGCAAAGCCCTCGAAGCGTTTTAGTAATAAATCCACGTTTTCTTTGACCATCGGTGCCAGTTCTTGTACTCGAGCTGGAGAGAATGCTGGAGTCAAAACAACACGTCGGATAGAATGGAGAAGAAGAGCAGTACCGGAACTTTCCTGGAAATGATTACACAAATCCAAAGGATCAAACTTAGACATTGTATTCATTGCTGCGTACTCCACAATTCACCTGTATCGTGGTGGGAGCCGATGCGGAAATCAAGACTATCAGTGACAATTAAAAGTGGCGAGAAGTAGATCTTGTCTATGCCACCAACAACCAACCGCCACCAACACAAAACCAACCTCTTCTCGTGTCATCTCAAAATTTGGCTCATACACAAATCCACAATTATCGAAGTCATGGGAGGCCAACTCGGATTTTTGTATCGCCAGCTCACCTTCATCCCTAAGCCACTTGCGACAAGCTCTTTGGAAGGGAAGGTCGCTCTCATCACTGGAGCCAACATTGGCCTGGGGTTTGAAGCTGCTCGCGAGTTAGCTTCCTGTAAACTCTCGCGTCTTATTGTTGCCGTTCGAGATCCAATCAAAGGGGAAAACACCAGGCAAACAATTCTTACAGAAGCACCGAGTTGCCATGTCGAAGTTTGGATCGTTGATTATGATCAGTACGACGGTATCATAGCTTTCGCTAAAAGGATCGCAGAACTCGACCAGCTTGATTATGTGCTTCTTAGTGCTGGATTGAAACAAATGGAATATTCAACTTCGCATACAGGCCATGAGACGAATGTTCAAATCAATCATATAGCCGCATCTTTGTTATCCCTTCTTCTGCTCCCTACACTTCTTCGTCTCTCGAGATCGACCGGAAACCCTTTGAGACTCACAATTGTTTCCTCGGAGGGACATTTCTGGATACCGTTCAAGGAGAGGACTGCTGCGAATATTCTCAAACGAATGGATGAACCAGAGACCTTTGGAACGGCGATGCAGAGATACTGTACTACGAAGCTGATAAATGTCTTGTGGACGAGAGAATTGGCTAGTAGGGTATCTGAGCACGAAGTTATTATCAATACTGTCAATCCGGGCTTTTGCTATAGCGGTCTGCATCGTCATGTGAAGACAGGGGCTGGCATTATGAATATCGTTCTCTGGATGATTGGACGGACGACCGCTCAAGGAGGACATTGCTTGACGGATGCATTGGTAGAGCACGAGGACTCCCATGGGAGATATTTAAGTGAGCAACAGATTACCGAGTACGTTTTGGCAGATCATATTCACAAGTTCGCTTGCTAACTTCATGCTTGAGCCCCTCTTCATTTGTTCTGTCGATGGAAGGGGAGGTTGCGCAAAAGCAGGTGTGGCGTGAGACAATTGAATTGTTGAAACACGAAGCACCCAATGCGGATATTTCTTTCTTCTCGGAATGAGGATCTTTGGCGGAGCGAAAACTGGTGCTTTGCGAATATCTCCTTTTGTAGAGTACTGATAAAATCTAACTCACCTGCTGTGCGATAGATTACTTAGCTGTCCGGCTGAAGAAAAGATACAGTCTCTAATATAGTTTTTCTTTCAATCAATATTTTACCTTTACAGTGCCTAGACAGCACTCACATCGCCCTATAGTGAAGTCTAATTATAATTCAATGACCGATCGATTGTATGTTCTGGACTGGCTGCCTCCCAAAATTAAAGAAGTAATTGGGCCGAGTCTATCAACGACGCCCAACTATCTAGATGTGTTGGATGACGTGTTTGACTATGTTTTTGGGGATAATATTCATGTTCTTGGTCTCTAAAGCCATTCACACCTCTCTAGAGCCTTCAGAAAACTTCTATTCTGCTGAATTGGACATCAAGATGTCGGTGGCAATATTGCTCCTCGCGTTAGCCGCATTCAGTGTTTCGTGGTATACCTTGCATTCCACCCGATCCAAGATCGTTGCCAAAAGACTTGGGCAAGACCCTGGCATCTTGAATTTCAAACAAGCAGCTTCTAAGAGATATTTTGTTAGCAATGGACATAGTCTCGTCCGTGAAGGTTACAAACAGGTATTCCGCGGGCCCTCGTTCATTTTGACCAAGTTCTAAAACATCGCACTATAGTCTAAAGATGAAAAATATGTGGTGCAAACTCAGGATATGGAGCGCCTCATTTTACCTCCGAAGTATCTGTCTGAGCTTCGCATGTCACCCGAAACAAAACTTAGTCACTCTGTTGCACTAGTGGAGAGGCATTTGGGATATTATAGCGGAGTCGATATCATTCTGCAAGATAAACAACACTCTGATATTTGTTGACTTCAATTGACCCAACAACCGCGTCAGTTGTGCTTGCAAGAGACTGAAGTACTCTACTGACATCTGTAATTAGCAACCCTTATACCGCAGATGGCGGAGGAGCTTGCATACTCTATGGAGAAATTTCTCTCTACTGCAAGCACTAGCACTACTGAAGGTCTTTTACCTCTGTCCAGTTCTCAAAGGTGTACCTGATTTATCTCTCTCTAGTTAGCAACCAAGATACCTCACGAGTTATAACATATCCTTATATATACTTGTTTCATTCAGGTAATAATTACCTTACTTACTAATAGACTTTAGGTTTCAACCTTAGTCTGTTCTCGCTTATTCTAGAACGTTCGATCACGTGAACCGAAACATTCTAGCATCCCTTTCTATTTATAAGCACTTCTATTCTATTTATAATCTATAGAACATCCTAGAATCTATTTAAGGAATATATATAGACCTTTACTGTCCTTATAGTTAGAAAAATCAAGTCATTTTCAAAAGTCAAATTCTTACTCTTTTGATACCCGATGTACCTGACAGTCATCTGACCATCCTACTTCCACTGTCTTATATACACTCTGTATATAACCGATACCTCTTACAATACTCAATGGTACTCGGGGTAAGTGGATACTCATCTAGTTTACTCAATACTCTACCAAGGAGGTTATTGTCCTGCAAACATATTCTCGCCTCTTTTTTTTCCCTTTCCTCTCCATCAAAGAAAAACATACTTACTCGTTACAGGTCTCCTCTCGTGTCTTCGTAGGAGTGGCGCTTGCCAGAGATCCCAGGTTGCTAGATGTTGTGTCCTCGTATCTTGCAACGGTAGTTGGCACAGCAAATGCACTTCGACCATGGCCTCGCGTTCCACGGAACTGTTCGACCTTTTCTTGCTCCTAAGCGTAAAATGAATACAATTTTACCAGATGCTCTAGAGATATTATCACCAGCTATTGAGAAACGTCAGAAGATGCATGGCAATCAAAGTGACCTGTTGGGTTTTCTGGTTCAAACATCCGAAGTTGTCGATCCGATGTCAATCTGCTTAAAATTGCTGGCACTGATTTCTGCTGCTGCAGTAAGTGAAATTTGTAACAAAACTCGATTTTAATATGACCTTAGTAGCTACATACTTCGACGATGGCAGCCGTACATACAATCTATGATCTCTGCGAGAGACCCGAATATCTGAAGGACCTGAAGACAGAGGTCCAGTCGGCCTTGAAGAAAAGAGGTGGTTCTTGGGTGTTTCAGATGATCAAAGATCTCCCACTTATAGATAGCTTTATGAAAGAGTCCATGAGATGCGATCAATTAGACGCTCGTAGGTTGCTGAGAGTTGGAATAGTCCCCTTGTATTACTGACAAGGATCTAGTTGCCTTCAATCGAATTGCAACGACGCCCATAAAGCTTTCCGATGGCTTTCTCATACCGAAAGGAACATTCATAAATATGGCTGCTGAAGGCATGTCCGAGGACCCAGAATACTACGAAAATCCGAAACTATTTGATGGGTATCGATTTCTTAACAGATCTGATGCTAAAGAGACCCAGTCATTGAACGATTTTACAGTAATTGAGCCTGGGAATTTGGCGTGGGGAAGTGGAAGTTTGACTTGTCCAGGAAGATGGTACGCGAGTGTTATGAACAAGCTCATTGTCGGTTCTTTACTTGCGGATTTTGACATCAGTTTTCCTGATGGTCAAAATTCAAGGCCCAAGAACCTGTACAGTAACGGTGGAGTGATGCCTGATCCAACCCAGCAGATTCTATTGCGGAAGATGAATTAGTATCAAAGATTGGGAGAAAATGACGGGCAAAATAATCATGTTGATATTCAATATGATAAATATCGTTCTCAATGGTGGTATCAGGACATGCAACTTGCCCACCCATGTAATACGAGATATGCCTTCTGAAATTTGGAAATAACATGAATCATTGAATCAGCGTTTATGGCAGAATGAAGTTTTGGCTATGAGCAAATTCCTTGTAACCAGACTGTATCCTTTACTGTGGCTGATTTCTTAATGTCGTCGTGTATATATATCCCTCATCAAACTTATCATTTCATGTTTCCCAATTCAGGAAATTTTCAACTCCCAAACTCCTCTTGACTGTTGCAAATGAGTGAACTAGGAGAGAGAAGGCAAGATATGAGATGATAATCATTTAGGAGAAGCCAGCCAGCCGCTTGTACAACACAAGGCGACATAAACAACTACCCACCCAGCCTTCATCTGAAATTTCACATCATGTCATGAAAATGAGCCCCATGATTTCATCGCCTCCATAATCAAAACAAAATGACAAACAAATCCGTATACTCACTCAAAACCCTTCTGTATACCAACTATCTTGTGCTTTTAAGAATCTTGAATTTGGCACTTCACTGTGTCAGTCATTCGCGGCATTGCTTCGTTTAGAATCAGCATTCATATTCACCTCATATCTTTACCCGCCGTAAACAAAGTACCGCCCTGCAAATAGGCCCCACAATCCAACACAACCACCAACATGAATCCTTACTGTAGCTGTTATTCACCACCAACCAGCTGTTTCAACATTCAAGAAAATAGACGTGATGGAAAAACCACTTGAAATCGTCATTGTAAGTGTTCGGCTCTTTGACCTGTCACTAAATACACATTTTAGGGATCAGTTTTAATATCATATAGATTGGCGGCTCGTTAGCAATGTCCGAATCCTAGAGCAATACCCTACCTCGATTCGCGAGGGTCAAGCTGCTGGAATGAGTACAGGAATTCATGGACAAAGGTTCCTCCAGACCCATGATCTACTGGTGGGGAGGCCTCATTTCGTTACCGCATCCTACCTACGGGTCTTCGATGTAGATCTCAACCAGACGGAAGAGCGAAAAGTGCCTTTCAAGCTGACGAATTGGAAAACATTTTATTATCGCCTTCGGGCCAACTTTGACGGGTTAAGAAGCGAGTACGTGCCCGAGCCTCCATTTAGGGCTCCCACGGATGGCCAGGCAATATATGATGTTGGCAAGAAGGTTATAGAGGTCAAGCACTGCGATGAGTCTGGTTTAACAATCACATTCCAAGATTTCGGGGGTCATTCTTCAGAGACACTTCATCCTGATCTCATTTTAGCTGCGAACGGAGCAAATTCCACGATCCACAAACTTATTTTTCCAGACCTCGAAGCGCCCTATGCTGGATGCTTGACATGGCGTGGCGTTGTGATTGAGAATCATCTATCCGATGAGACGAGGGTATTCTTTCACGATCATTGCATCCGATACAAAGTCAAAAAGGGGTATTTGGTAGTGTATGCGCTGCACAATCTTGGCCCGATAGTTTGACGCAGGAGCTGACTTCAACAGATACATTATCCCAGGTGACAATGGCAGTATCGTACCTGGATAACGCCATATATATCTTGTCTGGTACCATAATTGCGTCGAAAATTCCGACGAATTTGTTAATATTATGACCGATATCGACGGCGTCCAGCATCAACGAACTGTTCCTTTCGGCAAAGTCCAACCACAAGTATGGCAAAAGCAAATACAAAACCATGCTATCAACTTCGCTGCGCCAATCAAGGAAGTTTTGAGTAAAATCGAGTCGCCGTTTGTCACAGCTATCGCTGATTGCATTTCTCCGCAAGCATCATTTTATGACGGAAAATTGTTTCTGGTTGGAGATGCGTTGGCTCTGTTTCGTCCTCATGTGGCCCAGAGTATTAACCAAGCTGCATTGCATTGCTTGCTGCTAGAAAGATATCTGAAAGGAGAGATTACCTTGAGTGCATATGAGGAAGAAGTCTTGTCATTCGCGCATACTACGTTATTGTGGAGCAGAGAAGTAGGATCGGAATACCTTCATAGCATTGCAGGTCATTTGTATCATAAGATGCGTCATCGCGTTGCGAGGAGGGCGCAGCGCTGGGGTGTGCGGCTGTAATCCAAAATACATTGTTTTGTATTAGAGGATGATTTTCATTTGGTAAAAGCATGGTACGATGGATCTGAATTAGCGTGGTAATTAGGTAGTAGGTTATTATCTTGTTTAACTACACGATAGGGTCTTGGGTGTATCTAGTAGCGGTCTGTACGGAAATAGGGATCAATGGATGTGTGGCCAGCAATATACCGCGTATCAAAGTGATACTCAGCTACCTAAGTAATACTCGAGTTCCAATCGAGTACAATTATGTTAAGTAGAGTGGTTTAGGGTAAAAAATACAAAGTTTAGTATATTAGGTACCCCTACTCTACCCTACTTAAGCAATATGCTCACAATGACTTTTCAGGTTCCTAGTATTCAGTACGACAAATATAGTTCACTACATAGCATGTTTTAATTTATGACGAGTCAGTATCCCATGACAACTTGAAACTTGAAATATAGGAAGATTCATAATCGTTATTCATTTGCTTCACTATGTCCATATTACCGTGCACCCATTACTGCCCTCCAAAAACCATGCAATTCCTCAATCATCAATAAAGCCATTTTTTTCAATACATCTTTCTGAAGCAAAACCCCAATTTTCGATCCATAAGATCCCAATCCTCGACCAGGACCCTTAGGCGCTAATTACCAAGAGAAAGGAGTTTACTCGATGGCAATCTTGCGACCAGTTGGCTTCTTGGCCTTGGGAACAATAACAGTGAGAATTCCATCCTTCAAGCTCGCCTTAACACCATCCTGATCAACATGGCCTGGGAATCCGAAAGATCGACTGAACTCTCCTACGCTGCATTCAGAGACCCAGTACTTGGACTTTTCCTTCTTTGGCTCCTCGGTCTTCTTGGTCACCTCGTTGTTGGAGGATTTGCCCTCAGGAACATCCTCGAAGGTTGGTTGATGCTTGCCGTTCTCGATAGACTTGGTGCTTGCTGATCCCTCGATGAAGCCAGCTGGTGGTGTACCGCTCTCGTAGTGGCGTTCAGTACGACCGTGAACGGTGAGTGTTTGGGCGTCAGTGAATTCGATGTTGATATCCTTTTGGGCGACACCGGGAAGTTCACCGTGGAGTTCGTAGTTGGATTCGTTCTCCTTGAGGTCAAACTTGGGCTGGAATGACATGAGAGATTGCTTTCCAGATCCAGAGCCGCCTGTGTAGTGATTGTCAAATTGGTCAAGGAGACGGAAGAGAGGGGTGAAGGAGGGCTCGGAAGCGTAGTAAGAGCGTGGGAAGAGAGACATTTTGGGTGTTGCGTGAAGAAGTCTTTTGGATAGACGAGTTGTTGTTCTGAGTGGAAGTTTTCTTGAGAGTGTTCGATATTTGTTCATTGAGAGTTTGATGTTTGTTGATGATGAGGAAAGATATCCGGAGGGTCTCAGATGGCCTTATATAGACCAAAGTCTCGATTATGGAAATTTCTCGAATCAGCCATGGGAAATCTCCAGTTGGTTCTCGTATGATCTTTGAGAGGGGGTGGGCGGGGTTGACGTAACGGTGATTGACAAATATGCTCACGTGACTCGCTTGCGGAAATTTCGGGGGTTTTCTAGCAATTTCTACAAACAACGAGAAGGATTTGACCAATTAAAATCAACAAAAAAAGCAACAAATTCGTTTGTCAAGGAAAGATCTCAACCTAAGTATGTAAATAAACTCAGTTGTTGCATCATTTGGGTAGATGCACAGTGATTGTCTGCAGAAGCTCGATTGAGTGTCAGATTCCCGCTTAGCAGATGGAACAGGTGAAGTGGGGAAATTGAAAGTCTCCGATTACTTCAAGCTAATCCCGATTTATTGGGACTGAATAGAGACTAACAAGAGATTTTTCTGGTCTTGACTGGTTCTGAGGTCATCCAATACTAACTTATTTCCTCACCGTAAAATATGCGCCAAGGCTAAATTCGGACCTGCTACGGAAATCTCCTCTCATTAACACTACTGTACAAACAACCAGAAATCTTCTAGAGAGCTTCATGCCAAGAAATGAAAATATACATCCTTGGGCACATCATTTGCATCGCTCTGCCTACTATACGAAGCATTATACCCCCGCTTGTGCCTGAAATTCTATCCCTATACTATATGAAGATCCAAAAGGTTGTTTGATGGGAAATCGCAATAAGTCACACTCAGTACCTATGCACAATGATTTCTTTGGACGAAAAGTCTTTTAGAACTGCCATGAATGTTCCAATCCTTTGCAGTACAGCCTACGTTAGAGAATGCGGTGTTTGTCGTCAAACGAAAGTGGGGATGCATGCCTTAACTTCAATGAATCGAAAGCCGCATATCGAAAAGTATGCTACTTCGTAAGTTCTTGTTGCTGTCCCATTCTTAAAATCAATAAGTGACGTTGACTAGGAGCTGGAGTAAAGAACCGGAGCAATTTCTCCGGGCCCGAGAAATGCACTGGGTCTAAAGCTTCGATTTGATGCCAGCACCAAGAAACAATTCAATGATACCGATTAAACCCGAAGGAAGGATTATGATTGATGAGGGAATATGTGTCGTCGTATTGCAGGAAGAGAGAGGCACGGTAAATTAATACTTTCAATACTTCCGTACCAACATCCCTTGCGGGGTCAGGCATTCAAGGTTAGAATCTATTACGATCAATCATCTAATTGAGTCTCTTGGGGTTCTCAAGCTAATTATTGTTTGAGTTGTCGAGGCTGTGTAGTATCGCCTACTCTACTCAAGCGCTCTCTAACCCTAATCCTATCTACCCTTCTGTACTCTACTCTACTTCAGTACTTCTTGCGTGGGGCGGAATAAGTCGGCCCGAGCTCCGTATATCTCCCAGGCATCGTTGCGGTCGGTCCGAGCACTCCGATATAGCTCGCTCCATCTCCCACCAGCTCCCACTGTTTGCGATATAAGCGACCGTATGACTATTATTAGTTGTATCAACTGCCCTACTCTATCTATGAATGAAACAACCTACCTGATTTAACTCAACTGTCCTCAACTTTTCCATTTTCCCTTGGTATGCTGAGAGCTCTGAGGTGCCTTTTTTTTGGTACAATCTAGATTATTTGATCTGGATGAGACTGAAATCGTACCGAATTCAATTCATGTATTGGCAGCATGTTCGTATAGTACACAGCAAAAACTACAGTTTACTAATATTGACAAGACATGAAAATTGTGAGATCTTGGATCTGTTATTCTACGGTTTTAATTTGACCCTAGACCCTCCCCAGAGAGTCAAGCATTTCTCTATTGCTAATAAGGATTATTAGAGTGCATTCTACGCCACAGTAAGTTTTCTGACTGTTCGGTGGTATCTTTTTACGGCTCAATCTAAGATGAAAATTCTCGGAGTCAGAAGTTGTTATAATCCCCCCGCGCGTCTGTATACCGTCGATGCTGATATAATTAAGCGAGACTGGAAATATACATCTGTTTTCCTCGTCTTCGGGCAGGACGGATCTGCTCTGCTTATGAGCTGGCTGTCTTTGGTTTCACTAGATATATGTGAATAACTTTTCTGGGCACTAGCTCCAAAATGCTCTTACATTATTAATAAATAAACCGATTAAATTCCCAAACTTGGTAGAGGAGGCACACGATAATTTTAGATTGCCATTTGTCATGTTTTTGGCATTGCAGAATCTGGATTACTCGGTGCATATGGCTAACTGATATGTGCCATGTAGATATTTTGTCGCTAACATAATGTTGGAAGGCAGGAACAAAGTACCTAGTTAGGGGTCACTAACTACTCCGAGCTGTGCTTCCACCACTTCTAAGAAGCACACCTTAACCGAGGTGCCACAATAAATAAAACCGACCCGAAATAGATGTTTTCCTGCTTGAGGAACATAACAACCGAGTTTCTGCATTTTAATTAATGCTTCTACACCCAACGGGACTGCCTTACAAAGTTATGCTGACTCGCATAGCGCCTGCTAAAAAAGGGCGGAATGCCGGTGAATCCGCCACTAGCCCGCATCTAGCCGTTCACTGAGACGTCAAACACCGCCCACTGTTGCCCCTCTAAAGGCCGCCCCGCCATTCCACCCCACGATTTACTTCCCGGACTTTTCCCCGTCCTGTACAACTACCTACTAACTATCCCATCACGAACTCAAACAAGTACATCATGTCGTCAACAGTTAATGCAGGAGTCTACATCTGGAAGCGTCTCGCTTCACTGGGTATTGAACATGTCTTTGGTGTTCCGGGAGACTTTAATCGTGAGTGCCTTTACTTCACCCGCATTCCGGTGTTATTTCTGTTGGTGAGATCTCACTAACACCAAGTTTCATCGAAGTTTTCCTTTTGGATCAGATCTATAAGGTTCCCGAACTCACTTGGCTTGGTACTTGCAATGAATTGAATGGAGCTTATGCTGCTGATGGATATGCGAGAATTAGAGGGAAGCCAGCTGCGCTATTGACTACGTATGGAGTGGGTGAGTTGTCGGCTATGAATGGTGTTGCTGGAGCTCGTGCCGAACATGCTGGGATGATACATTTGGTTGGGATGACTGCGAGACCAGGTGGGTTTCTTTGACGCACGCTTTTGGGGATCTGTTAACGAAATGTTATAGTCCAAAAAGCAAAGGCGCTTATTCATCATACTATGTATCCCGGAATGGATCATGGGATCTATGTTGGAATGTCTGAGCCAATCCGGAAAACTCACACCTACTTGATGGATGATGCTACCATGGCGTCTGAAATTGATCGTGTAATTATTGAGGGAGTCAAAAGCAAGTTGCCGGTTTTTATATATATACCAACCGATGTTGTGTTTGTACAGGTTGATGCCTCAAGACTCGAGGCGCCACTGGATACTACAATCAGAAACGAGAGTGAAGATACAGAAAATGACATTGTGAAATCCATTCTGGATCTTATCAAGAGTGCTGAAAGCCCGGTTGTTGTGGCTGACGTTTTGGCTATCAGGCATGGTGGCCGAGATTTGACAAGAGAATTGGTCGATCTGACGCAGTTTCGAAGTTTCTCCACTCCATTATCCAAAGGGGTCATTGATGAGGATCATCCAACGTATGGAGGCTTGTATAATGGCATTGGTAAGGCTCATCAACAACTGACTTATTCGATCTATAATTTCATTGCTGACTTCTACAAGCTTCATTCGATGGCATTGCGGATGCTATACACGGCTCTGATCTCGTTTTGAATGTCGGTCCTCTCCTCTCAGACTCCAATACTGGTGGATTTACTCGTGATATTAAAAACACCAATCTTGTGTCCTTGGGACACGATTTTGTGCAAGTTCGTGAACAAAGATTTGAAGGTTACCACTTTTTCCCTATCCTAACCCAAATTTTTGAAGAGCTGAAGAAGGAACCTTCCAAGTTCAATCTTCCAAGACCTTCGAAATCCCAAAAGCTTGAGGTAAATTATCCCTGGTTGGTTTCTAAATAGATTGGCTCACAGGCTAAACAGCCACCTCGACTGAATGACTCGGCATCTGGTCCCATTGAGCAATCATACACCTGGCAACGCATTGGACGCTTCTTGAAACAAAATGATATCGTTTTGGCAGAATCAGGGACCGCCCAATTTGGAATGCCCGATGCCACGTTTCCGAAGAACACGCAATATATCACCCAGATATTCTGGAGTTCCATCGGATACACCATCGGCGCTTGTCTCGGTGCTCTCGTCGCAGCTAAAGAGATGAGAAACCCAGGCCGAGTAGTTCTGATTGTAGGTGAAGGCTCTCTCCAAATGACAGTGCAAGAGATTGGATCTTACATCAGATTCGGATTTACGCCCATTATATTTGTCATCAACAATAATGGATACTCCATTGAGAGAGCCATTAATGGTCCAAAACAAGACTACAATAACGTCAGCATGCTGTGGGACCATCAGAAGATGCTCGAATTTTTCGGGGCGAGAACAGAGACTGGAATCAAGAGCTCGAGCTACAAATGTTCCACGGTGGAGGAGTTGGAGGTGGTCCTCAACAATGAGGACTTTGCGTCCGGAAATTCGATTCAGGTACGTCCGTGAACAACAGGATTTGAAGTTAGAGCCGAAGATGTATCGACTAACATTTTGTCAGCTGTGTGAAATTGTTATGGATCAGTTCGATTATCCTTGGAGATTAAGCAAACAACTGGAGATTCACAAGGCCAAGTTGGCTGCTGCTGCTGCAAATGCACCTGCAGTGGGCGTATAAACCCCAGACTTGGAAGGTGTATATGTATTAAAAATAAGCAATTTGCAGACGTCCTTCAGGATACTTAGTGGAATGGAATCAAAAAACCGCATTACAAAACACTACTCTTTCTCCTGCAGGTGAAAACTGATGAGTTGTTGAAACCGTCACTGAATTGAAATGAACCTCTTATGCACTATCCTCGCGACTGGGGGAAGCAGAGATGGGATTCTTCTTTGGCTGGCAGGTTGTTCTAGATCGCATCAGATTACAATAGGGCATTACCGGCACGTGGATACAGTATCAGAGGAGATACATACGCTCAGAAGGAATTTCAGACCATGCTACAGTACAGTATTCCGTCCCTTTTCTCGAAGCTGAGATTTGCTTTTAGAGAGGTTTTGCCGCCGAAAAACAGTGGCAAAAATAGTGTTAAGTTTATACTAAAAAGTGGACGATATCTGAGCGATATCTGACCGTTTTATTCAAAACACGTCGCCACTATTTGAAGTTTATTTAGAGGCTCAAGAGTAAATAGTACTATTCGAAGTTTATTCACAAAATAACGGTGAAAATCCCACTTTCCAGTCCTCAATTGAGCCTAGGTCGAGCGATATAAGCCTTCGTATTCTAAACAGACTCTCGTATTTGTTTTTGCATTAGAAACCGTCCCTGCGTACACTTCATTCGTTATTATTTCTTTACTATTAAAGGCCTCCAAAACCTCACGATAAATAGTAAGCCTTATTATCTATACGCTAATAAACCTTACCACTATTGTCATTTTTCGGCGGCAAAACCTCTCTAATACGAAACACGGATTTTGACAGCGCAAGGTCCCTTTCTTCAAGCATAAGTATTACAGTACGAAGTAGTTTAAGTGAACAACTGGCTAGAGGGCCCAACTCCCCTAACGATCTGTATCTGTGGTAATTGACCTAAATACTGTAGTCCGTAGTTCTTTCATTTTTCCCCACAACGGTAAAGTAATCCAAACTTATGGAATTTCGCTGTATTATACCTTCACACCCTTTCAATCATAAGTGGATTCTCCTTGTTTGGGCTACTTTTTCAGTAATACGACAGACCGCTTATTAGCAAAGAAACGCCACCTCCAAATTTTGCAAAGTGTCACTTACGAGCACGCCAGTCATCCTGAATCAAGGAACGACGCTTGGAGCGAGAGCTCTCGAATGACCCGTGGACCCGTTTCCCGTCATAATGCGGCTCACAGATTCCCGAAAACCAACTTCGTAAACGACCCTTCAGAAAATGAATGCATAAAAGAGAGAATCCCTATCCATTGATGGCGAACCAGATCAAATACCAGATGTTACCAGTCATGCTGGAATATGCTTGCTTTTCTTTTCCTGAAGGATTTCAATGGTGTTTTCAGGAGTAAGAATGTTTCCTAACAAGAAAATACCCAACGGGAAGCTTTCAGATTCCAATCCTCCCCGAAGCAGTAAAGTCCGAAGGATCTACAGCACAAAGTTCTCTCAACCTATGCTCGCTTGCTCCTTCCATAACCACCCGCTAACTCGATTTCCCGGGTTGCCGAATTCCAGAGCAATATGTTCCATACTTGATACACCCGATATGGAGGACTTGGAGGACAACGTCCTATAGAATTGGCCCAATCGTAACCGACGCGTTTCTCCAGCTCCTGGGATGTTACATGTATCATACGAGCAAGAAACAAACGCAAGGTCCATGCACTGGGTGTGTTTCACGAAATTAGTTCCACACTAGGTAAAAAACAGACATAGTTCTACCAGAACGATCGTTCATAGGTTAGTGACGTATAACCGCTATCACAAATACTGTACTTACAGTACTGGTACTTTATTTTCCTAGCTTCTTGGCGAAAGCGTGGCTCGCTTATACGTTTGCATTGACTGACTGTGATTGACAAACATGGGTTGATAATTACGTCCTGCATCTGGATCGAGCTATGGCGATGTCCTCTGCCCACACAGACATGAAGAAATCGAAAGGATAGGGGAAATTCGTTTGGAGATATCGCTCAAAATGTTTGATTCAAGGGATCTGTGAGCTTCATCCGAAGGGAGGAATCCTTCGAAAGGAAAGGGGAAACTGACGCAGTTTCAAACTTTACAGCGAGCTGTGGAATCCATCGAGGTCTTCCTTCGTATAAATATGTCCTCTGATTCCGGCTTTGAGATGAGGACAGGCCTTAGAGCTGCACTCGGTTGCCTCAGTTCATCGTGCATTCTTGTCTACAGTTTTTGCATTGATACATCAGCTGGTCTGAATTGTAATTCACTCACTTACTTCATCGTCTGATTTTCAACATGCGCTTTTCAACCACCCTCATCATCGCCTCCGTGGCTGCCCTCGCCGCTGCTGCTCCAACTTTGGAGGGTAATTCGAGTTTGAACCGGAGATCTGTGGAGGTTGGAGAGAATGTCGCGAGGGCTGTGACAGATGTGGAGTTGCAGGAGTAGGTCTTCATACAAAGGGAACTGTAATTTGGATCTGGGCTAACAGTCTTTGAAGGAAGAAACGTGATCTTAATCTAGTCAAAGTTCCAGAGGCTATTCCCCGTGACCTTGATGCACAAATTGTAGAGCGTCAGGCAAAGAAGAAGAACAAGAAGAAGAAGAAGGCAGCGGCCGCTAAGCGTGACCAACTTGAGGAACGGGACGAATTTGAAGCCCGTGATGTTGAGATCTCGGAGCGACAGGCAAAGAAGAAAAACAAGAAGAAGAAGAAGGCTGCTGCCGCCAAACGCGACGAGCTCGTGGAAAGGGACGAACTTGAAGCCCGTGATGTTGAGATCTCGGAGCGACAGGCAAAGAAGAAAAACAAGAAGAAGAAGAAGGCTGCTGCCGCCAAACGCGACGAGCTCGTGGAAAGGGACGAACTTGAAGCCCGTGATGTTGAGATCTCGGAGCGACAGGCAAAGAAGAAAAACAAGAAGAAGAAGAAGGCTGCTGCATAGCGGAATCCGGTTTTCGAGTTTTAGGAGCGCTATGAGGTAGCTTGGGATGTTGGGTTTCAAGAACGATGTGCAAAAAAGAAATAGAAGAAAGCAGCTTGGGGTCGATCATGAAAGGTGTTGAGGCTGGGCATTAATACATCATACGTGATTGAGTACTCTCTTTGATATACGAAGTACATGTAACAATAAATGATGGAATGACCCTTTTGTTTAGAGCCAAGCTTCGCTCACTTCCGGTGTTTTATGGTGAGATATTTCTGATGATTGGTAGACTATCTATTTACAATATCAACATCACTGTTGCATCGAATTCATCGTATGATACAGTAAGAAAAGTGAATCTTCATGACAAGTCTTCATCTTGTTAGAACACGGTAAAGAGAAACCGTGCCCCAATAAGTGACCCCGCGTGATCGTGGCGCCAGTAGTTGCCACCCAAACATAATTTATGACGTGAACGACTATACCAGTAGAAAAACAGTCCCGAGTGGCTTCCCAACAGAGGTCGTATTCAATGTTATGCTTAGAGGAAAAAACAGACTTTGCGCGGTAGCCGATCAATGCCGTGGCAACAAGCTCAGCAACTACACAACAGGTCGTGTTTCCCAGTCAATGGTTGCACTTGCAAGACCCTGATATGCTCAATACGGTTGGTCTAGAGTGTGGAAAAATAGTGTGCCTGGCTCTAGAAGGCAAAAGGGTACCCAGAAGAAAATTTGTAAAAACCATCAAATCAAAAGTAAGGAAGCACCATACACATATGTTCCGAGAAAAACGCAACCGGATTTTTTGTTCCCCAAACTGTTCCCCAAAGGCTTTTCCTCAGTTGATCCTGAGTGTGTGGTAGGTCAGCTCAGTGGAAAACTTGACCACCCAATCATCATCCTGGCGCGCATAAAATAGTGCAATAGCCAAATGTGGAAGCTTTGTTCGTATTTGTTGACACATGATATCAAGGGGAAATTCCCGTTGTTTCTTTCATTGGCCCTTGGTTGCCAGCTCAGCCAAGGGACCCGATCGGCGGATACGAGATTTGGTTCTGGGGGAACCTGGGAGGCAAGTTAGCCTGGAATAGAATCACAGCCACGAGGAATTACGTGTTGAATGACGATACAGTACCATCTCAAAGAGCGCAATGAGCGAAGAGGTGTCAAGGTGTCGGAGGCGCCTTGCAAGAAGGCTGAAGATCGAAGTTGGGCTGAGTGAAAAAAGGGGTAGCGAGGGATAAGGGGTTGTCAACAGGGGCACGCAGGATTGACGCGATGGAGTCCGATCTCGCGGCACTTTATCCCCTCGCCATAAACCTGTTAGTCCCGGAACCACGAGCCAATTGTACTTACTTACCAAGTCTTTTATATGGATCTCGGCAGAATTTAGCGCTCCCCCACACCCTAAATTAAATTGCGCTAATTTAAAGTGATCCACAAAGCTGGGGTATCTTCACGAAAAAAAGGACAGGAACGCCCACAGTGACCCACTCAACCGCGAGTGCTATTTATATTTCTCCCTAGGGAACTTTCATAAAATTCATCTCGCTCGCTCCTTTTCTACCTCTTCCTCCCTCCTTCCTTCAACCTCTCTCGTTCACCACCCACTGTCGTTTACCACAACAGCCGATCGCTACATATTGACTCTTCTTCCGTCTGTCTTAATCAACATCTTCAATTGTACCAACTTTCGAACGATTACTTAATACCGTCAACATGCGTTTCACCAGCTTCATCCTTTCTGGTCTCGTCGCCGCTGTCTCCGTCAGTGCACAAACACCAGTTCAGTCTCAGTCTCCTGCTGAGGTCTCCAAGGCGGCATGTTTGGCTGCTTGTGAGTTGCCAAATTTTGAGGTGTGAGATCGAGGACAATTTCTAATTCTCAATAGGCTCTCCAACCGATCCTAACTGCAGAGCCAAGTGTGTTGTCCCAGTCGCCGATGAGGTCGCTCTCACCAACTCCCGAAACGCCTGTATCGCAGCTTGCCCACAAGGTGATGGAAGTGCCTCCGCCAACTTGGCTTACCAAACATGCCAAACTGCATGCCGCATTGCAACTGTAGCCACTGCTACTCTCACCAACAACCCAGCTACCATCCCAGCCCCTACCGGTGCGGCCACCGGACCTGCCACCCCTGGAACCGCTGTTAACACTCCTGGGTCTTCCCCATCTGCTCCTGGATCTCCAAGCCCTTCTCCAACCGGACCAGCTGCTTCATCCGGTACCTCCGCTTCCAGCAGCGTCACCCGTGTCGCCTCTCCCACAGCCGGATGTAAGTTTCCTTCAAATTGCCCATTATCAAATTATACAGATACTGATATTAATCTAGCTCCAACCTCTGCTGGAACTGCCGCCGCTTCCTCTTCTGCTGCTGCAGCTGCAGCAAACTCGCAAGTCGGCTACTCCATGGCCGGTCTCGCCGCTATCGCTGCTGTCTTCGCCTTGTAAGCGTTCCAACTGTTAAGAATCACGCCTAGTTACGAAAAATATGGTGGAGGTAATGCTTGGGAATGAAAAATGTGTGGGAATGGAGGGGGAGTTCAATGGAAGGCAAACAGGATCATCTGTTAGGTACTACTCCGATATGGAATCCGGCCAGCTCCCAAGTGAGTAACATTGCTGGTTGGATGGTGGGAACTTTCTTGGCCAGTTTGTTGAATGTAAATCCATTGAACTCGCTCATGACTTTTTTGCTTTACTGGATATGGAAGAACCTTGCTTAAGTTACATTGCGACCGTGTACTAAAAATAGCTTGAAGTTAATGTTAATAATTTTGATCATATGTCGATACATCTCCTTGGACATTCGTCAATTGAAATTTGTAATTCTGCCTTCGCTGGTTGATTCGCCTCCTGGAACGTATGTGGGGTTTTTGTCTTGTGTTACATTGGTCGGAAGATCAGCTCTGTTCTGTTGGCCTTTCGAGTAACCCAATTAATTCGGAGTCTAGTGAACCAGACTGTCTGCGATCACCTTGTCTGCAAAGCGAGCCCAGCCCGCAATCAGCTTGAGTCTGAGCCCAATTATACAAACAACCTTCCAGCGTGATCCATCTTTCGCAGCTAATATAATATCTGCTATGTGCAGAGTTAAAAGTAAGTTGAGTTGAGTAGTAGCACCTACTTAACTTAAGCCGCCAAGTACTTAAGTTGAGTTCCGTACTAACTAAGTAGTACGAAGTAGGTCGGGCCGAGTATAGGGCAATTCGATTTAGCCGGCCCCCTTACATACTACCTATTAGATATTTACAAATTCCAGAATAGGTAATAATAGGCTTAAAACCCTAAGAGTTTTAAGTAGACAAGTGATAAGGAAATAGTATTAAAAAGACATCGTATTTAAGGACAATTCTTCTATACTTTAGATACTATTTATAGTGTACTACTTGAGTAGCTAAATTTACAACTCAACTCAACTCAACTCGAGTGACTCTGAGTAGTGCTCGAGTTCTTCTGTAGTTCTTTCGAACGCTGGGTATGTGTGGCGGACCCGTAGCATCAAGCGCTGGCATCAGGAGATTCAAGTCCGAATTGTCCATCTAGAGCTGAGAAGAGAGGGCTGAGGAATTGTTTTTGGAAAATTGACCGCCCTAGTCCTAGGAGTCTTATTGGCATTTCAGAGGGCACGGTGAAGGAATTCTTTTTCCAGAAGCCGTGATGTATACGGTCGATGACATTGATGTTTGTTTTTATATATTTGGTCCTTTCTTAGTGCCAGCTTTTGATTATAACTGTCTTAAGAGGGAACATTCTAGTTAAATTATAGTCATAGTCGTATTATAGAACAAAAGCGAATTACATTTACTTCTATAATCAAAAATTCTATAGTAACTAACAGGCCTTTGAATTCAAATAGATAACCTGGGATTCTAGATTTTAGGCGTTAATAAGATAACTAGTTATAACTCTATATATACTTAACAAAATGTGATTATACCAAACTTCTAGTATGAGTACTATAATTGTCTTAGTATACCTAGACTAATATAAAACAAGTGTTAACAAAATAAAAAATATTCTAAACCCTTTTCATGAACATTTTAGTTGTTCAAGGCTCTCAGAATAATACTCTTCTTAAAGAGGTGTGTATAGAGTAACGACCACGTTTCTTACTATACGCGAGGAACATATGGAAGGGCGCGCAGACCACTATTTTGTCTACTTAGATATTTTAGAATAATCAGCTATTAGTTAATAATTCCTTAATACGTGTGCAGGATACTAAATTTTACGTTAGAACTAGAAATATATCACAGATTTACGGCTTCCCGTCTATAGGAGCACATCTACAGTTAACTAATAAAGTCACAATACACTTGCAGATGGCACAATCCGATTTTGGGAATTTAACGTATTATTAAGCTGACGCGTTTAGCGCCTCCAGAAAATAGGTCCAGATCTGGTCTGGATTTCCATAGTACAATTTCCTATGAGCATCCACTGTGGCCCACCATACCACCACACTTTGTCAGTAGCTCAGGAAGTACTGCCTCTGATATCCCGTTCCAGTAGTCTAAGTCTACGAGCCATGAACTGCTCAGTCATCGACATGATATCATCCCTCAGCTATAATCCTCGTCAGAATCGAGCTCAACATCATCAGACTCTCCAGCCTCATCCAAATCATCACCTCAATACTCCTCACTATCGTCTTCGTCCATCGCATCCATCTCATCATTCTCATCCTCGTTTTCGTTTTCGTCCTGGCTCTGCTCTCGGCTCTCGTATCCCTCATCCTCCTCGCTTTCATTCTCAGTATTATTCTCATCCTCGTCGTCGCTATCATCATCGTGTGCATTCAAATCAATGCCCCCACAACGCTGGCATGTCTTCGAATGCTCCGACCTAACAACATTATGAAGCCCCTCGCATTTGGCATTCCTTGGATTCTCCAAAGTCGCTAGAACACACACCGGGCTATGAACATCCCTATCGATACTATAGTGACCGCATGTGTAATGGGTGCTGTATTTGATGCAGCTGGTGTTCCTATTGACCAATGGGCTGAGCAGGCCGTAGGGACCCTTTGGGAAAATGACTGGTTGGATGGGATAGTCATCAATCATGGTAGCGCGGACGAGGGAAGGCGTAGCGGCAGCGGCGGCTTTGAAGTATTCCTTGATCATACTTGCCACTAAGACAGAAAGGTTGGCGTAGCTGAAGTGCGAGGAGGATGTTGGGGAAGTCAACATGGAGGCTGTGGGGTTCTTGGTTGATGGAGATGGCGACATTTTGATGGGTAGGTTTTGTGTTGGTTTGTGCGAAGTTGAGGATTGTTTTGTTATGATGGTGTGTTATTCAGCCGTCAGAGTTTGTTTTTGACGATGAGCGGCAGTTGTTGCATGGCGGACTTCCTTGTGTAGAATCATGAAAGATTTGGACAGAGTCTGGTCAAGATGTCTGGTGGGAGAGAAAGAAGGAGCTGCAAGACTAGGAGCGTAGGCACTAATAAGCTGACAGACCTTGAGACCCACGAGAACCTACCTAGATGGTGACATTTTCACTGTGAATTAGCTGAAACTGAGAAAGGGGGGGGGACCGCCTCAACCTCAGGCAAAAATCAATTCACTAGATTGCTCAGTAACATAGCAAAGAAGAGATTTCCTTTCTCATTTTGAGCTACAATATTTTGGGTTAGCAGCGTGATATCTTTCAGAAGCAGAGGTTACCGTAGTCTGTGAATAGCTTTTATTCAGTTGGAAGTTAGGAGGAAATTATCGATAGTAAGAACTATTGTTTGAGAGAGAGATACATGATGGGCCAGCAAAGGAAGCCCGAACAAGATAATCTAGGGGCAAAAAAAACCCTTTCAATGCCCCTACCCGTTGAGTAACCATCACCCTTGCTGACCAAATCTAACAAAAAGCCTTATGGTACATATATGGCATACACCACCAACAGCAGCTCAAGGGATCCAAAAGTTGGAAGTTGGATATCTACAACTGCTCTTGTGCTTAGTAGCTATTTCTTTTGGGGTACAGGTGTTGGTTACTACATACGTTTTCAAATTTGGACCGGGAAATGTTTGTTAGGTTCTATACCACCAGAAATCAGGCGTCAATGCTCAGCGACACAATACTTACAATCACGTCAAGAACAGATTATCACAACGCCTCTTTTGAAGCCTGCTTTAAGTGAGATGCTGAGATGTTGAGTGGATAAGTTTCTCAGAGACCTTAAAGCCATCAAAGTGATTGTTCCGGATATGTCACTTGGGTTTAGAAGACGTAACATATGCATTATATTTTACCTAAGACTCCTAGCTAGTACTCCCTTAATACAGTTCTTGATTCCACCTACTTTGCGCACCATTCTTACTCTACTACACACTCAAATGACAGCTTTCGATGCCTGATCGCCTGATCGCCGCCGCCTAGCAATAAAAGCTATATAGAGCCTGCTCCAACTTTGAATGGTATCATCAAAAGCCTAAACACCAGCTGCCTCGAGCAGAAACCCCCAAATAGCGACCATAGATAGTTGTTGACTCATTTCGTAGTTCGATGCTTCCAAAGGCAACGTACTCAATCTGCAAGCAACCATCAGTCTCTTAGCACAGGACTTGGCTGGTCAAACATATAGCTTTAAGAATACATGGCATTCGCTTTATTACAAGCTATGGCGCGTATACTTACCCACAATTTAACTTGATATTTAATCTACGATACCTGTGGGTTAGTTTCTAGTTTACATTCAAGTCACATATAGAGTCACGTCACATTTGCAAATGGCACAATCCAAATATGGATATTAAATACATTTATTGATCTATCTAAGTCCCTATCCAATGATCCTCCACCTGGCCTGCTATGCCTATGTTTTTGTGGTTTTTGTTTTTATGGTTTTTTTGTTGTTTTTAGTCACTTTCTGTCAAATTCAGCACCCTAAGATCCTCCGCCGTGGTCTGCTATACCACTTCTGTTATGTCATTTGCTCACGACCCCCAACCCCGCATAATCCTATGTCCATGTCAGTATTCCAAGTCTATGGGCGATGGAAAACAACTGGAAGAAGGAGTCTATGCATCATCAGCAAACCCATCAAACGAAAGTGTACTCAGCCTGATCAACATCAACTTCTGTAATAAGACTATACTCGGCCTCATTCCCTTCCGCAATAGGACATCTCTCCTCCTCATCACTGCTATAGTCGAAATCACCCTCAAATCCCTCGGTGTCGGAATAATCCAGTGGAGGTGGTCGGCAATCCTTACACTTATTGATGTCGTAAGAGACGGTATCAAGGATACCAGAGCAAACATGAGAATCAGGATTCATCATAGAGGCGCAGACACATGCGGGCAGTGGACGACCTTCTTGACGTGGACGTGATTTCATCGCTGGTATAGTCTGGGGTAACGGACGCAATGGTTGCTGCTAAGGACTCTATCCCGAGCGGGGAACTCCAATGTGTCAAAGTTGAAGAAACCTAGACGACCTGGTGGGCATCGAATTGGGCTGGTGATATCGAATATGATGACGACCCGAGCTGGCGATGCGTCCTTGATGATTTGGCCGATCATCAAGAGGGTCTCTGTAGGAAGGCGCTCGAGGTAAGACGATTCGTCGGCATCTGGGAGTGGTGCGAAGGTGTCGAGGAAAGCCCGGACGAGCTGGGTGGGAAGCTGTTGGAGAGAATCGGTCATGGTGGCGTTTGGTGGTGATTTTGGTGTGTCGAGAAGGTGTATTGAGTCGAAAAAGCTGATGGCAGAGTTGATGGAAGATGATGAGGTTTGTCGGCAGAGTTATGGTGGATGGTTGTAGGTTGGGAAAAAAAATTTAGAAGTTTAGGAGGGGACCCTAGTATATATATTAATCCTACTTATTAGGCTAGACCCCGCATCTAACGTTAGCCTACCCCCCTGTAGGAGATTCTCGCGGCAGGTGAAGATCACGTGTGTGTAAACAAGCTGTAGCGCTAGCGAAGCTATAGCGAAAGTGTAGAGGTAAGCTAACTCGCTAGAAGATTGTCACGCTTCTCCGCCTCGCTTAGCTAGGCCAGGCCTCGCATGCACCGTTAGCCTACCCCCCCGGTCAGAGCTTGCTCTGGGCAGGCGACGATTTCTCGAGGCAGATGACGATCACGTGAGATTGAAGCTATCGTAGCTCGAGTAAAGCGAGATAGAAAGGGGGGGGCAGGCGGTTAATAACTCGATTCACTAGGCGGCGGTCCTCCTTCTTAACCCCGCCTACCTTGCGATATAATAACAGAGCTCTGTAGATCCCTTACTTAGGCGCTTAGCCTAACGTTAACATTAGCCTCGCTTAGATCACGTGATATAATGTGAACATAGGCGGTGATGAGTCACTACATTAGCACCGCGCAACACCCCCCCTATTCCGCCTCGCTTAGCCACACCCACGGCGGGTGCGGATCCCGTGACCAGGCTAACCTAATAGGGGGATAGGCTAACGCTAGTTGCGGTGGCCTAGCTAGTAGGTTGGATAATACATATAGTAGGGTCCCCTCCTAACTTTCTAAATCTTTTTTCTCCCCAACCACCTTTATATCGAGATACTGCCATACAAATCTGCGACAATTTTCCATCACCAGAAATTCATACGACACTTCTACTCATTGCCAAAAACACATACGATACTTCCACCTACCGCCATAAACACCATACCTCTTTTCGCCATGTCCTCCTCTAGCATCCAGGCATGCGACCACGGCTCTCCCGTTCCATCAGGAGGAGACCAGCAGCAGCAAACCCCACCACCACTCCGAATGGTCGACATAAGTCTGGCTTACAGATAAGGACCTGATGTCCAGTCCATAGATTACCCTCGACACCTTCGACACCGGCCTTCCTCCCCTTCGCTCTGCTGGCCGCATCGACGCCAACAAGGAGTGCGTCCAGTACAGCATCCGACATAACTGCGGCGGGGTGATCCATTTCACCAACAAGACTACCGTTCATGGGTGGAACTGTCATTGGGGTTGGCCTTATGAGGTGGTTGAGGATTCTGCGGAGCCGTGTTCGGAGTGTAAGAAGCGAATTGATCGGGAATTGAAGGAGATTGATGAGATAGGGAAGTGGAAGGTGAAGAAGGTTGCGAAGAAGGTTGTGGAGATCTTTCATCGTAAGTAGGGGGTGGGTACTGATGATTGATGCTGGGATATCGGCGGATGATGATGATAATGATTACCATGATGATAGGACGGATATGGATGGCATAACAGACTAGGCGGAGGATCTCAAAGCGCTGATTTCCATAGGAAACGAACAAAACACCACAAAAACATAGGCATAGCAGGCCAGGTGGAGGATCTGGGGGACTTAGTAGAGCGATGACTTTTAGGTAGATTAATAAAAATATTTAATATCCATATTTGTCCCATACCTTTCGCAAATGTGACGTGACTTTTAATAGACTAACCTAGTAACCGTAGATAAACCGTATGGATTGCCTTGCAGGGTAAGTATTTGTAGATGATCGGAAAAATATTTAGACCTTCCTCTACCTCATGTATATGTGATATAAGTTCTTGTAGTAATAGTAGAGCAAACGTAGGCGAACTTCCCAGGTAAGTATTTACAGATAAGTGATAGGGATATATTTTTCCAAGTATTCGTCTATTTCTTTTCTAGATATAAAGTAACTTAAGAAGTTAATAGTAGGCTATTGTAAATAAATAGAAAATAGACTGTTCATTAGCTTAATATTATAGATTTAATATAACTTCACGTATACATGTGACGACACGTACGCAAGGCCCACGGTGGAGAGGTGGAATCGTAGAAACTGTCAAATACGAGGATTCTAAGCTGAGGAGAAGAGGAGAGCTCGAGAGAGCTTCGATCTAAATACAAGGTGTGGGTCGCTAAGCGACACCACGTGATAGGTAGCACGTGACGGTCTGAACCGTCACATTACCCCCCCCTTTGAAAAAAGCTTGCCCTCAAGCTTGTAGGCATCTCTGTATTGTCGTCCAATTGTTCGTACGAATCTAGTCCATCCTCCCAAGCCTTAATCCACTCCTGTAGTCGACGCGGGGGTCCTGGTTCTGCAGGGTACTGTAAGTGAAAGCTCCTAAGTTTGTGTGGCGAATACTTGAAGTCGGACGCCGGATACCATTCTGGATCCTCGTCATGCCCTGTCCACTTTGCCCTATAATATAGTGCTTTCCTTGTTCTCTTGACTGCAATTACCTCTTCCACTTCCCACTCCTCGTCGTCTGTAACCTGTATAGGCGGAGGTGGTTCATTTATCTGTCCAGCTAAAGGGTCGTCCGAAGCTTTTCGTAGGCGGTCTGTTGAGAACACTGGGTGTATCTTCATTGAAGCTGGTAACTTGACTTCGTAAGAGTGTCCAACTTGTCGAATTACTTCGTACGGGCCTGCCATCTGATGGTCTAGCTTGCGGCTTGGGCGTTCGGTCTTCCAATTTCTTGTAGCCACCCAGACTCTGTCTCCTACCTTGAAGTCTACTTCACGTCGGTGGGGATCAATATCTCTTCGCTTCTTGTCCTGCGCTTCCTTCATGATTGTACGAGCTGTTTCCCACGCTTCTTGGAGCTTCCTAACCACTTGCTGTGCCTC